TTAGGCATTTTATTTGATGTAGCTTGTGTTTTCTGCCTTAGTTTTTTATTTTTGCTTTTTGGGTCACACCCGGCAATGCACAGGGGTTACTCCTGCTTCATGCACTCAGGAACTACCCCTGATGGTGCCCAGGGGACCATATGGGATGCTGGGAATCGAACCCGGGTTGGCCGCGTGCAAGGCAAACACCTTACCTGCTGTGCTATCACTCCAGCCCCTGCCTTAGATTTCTTGAGCAAATTAGTGAAGATTGCAAAAAAAAAAAAAAAAAAACCCAAAAAAACAAACAGCCCAAAAGATACAATTTGGCTTAGAAATTAGCCTATTGTTTTTTCAGTTTTGTACTTTATTAATTTCTGCTTTTATTTGCTGGGAGAGGGAGGAAAATGCCCAGCAGTGCTCAGGGATGTCAAGGCACTTCCGTGTCACTCAGGACACAAAGCTGGGCCCCAGGATCTCGAGAGACAGTACAGCAAGTAAGGCACTTGCCCTGTATACCACCAACCTGGGTTCAGTCCCCAGTACCCAGTAAGGTCCCTAGAGCCCTGCTAGGAGTGATCCCTGAGCAGAGTCAGGCATAGGGCCCGAGAACTGCCAGGTATGGCCCCAAAACAAACATGCAAAAAGAGTTCAACCTCAGGCATGCCAGGTATGTACTTCAGCCTCTGAGTTAGTTCCCTGGCCCCTGCTTTTTATTTATTTTTTCCCCTTAGGGTTAAGTATGTGGCTTAGTGATAATGCACAGAGTTTGCATGCCTGAGACCTGGATTATATCTCCAGTACTGTCACGGTCACGGTCACGGTCCTCCCATTGTTCATTGATTTGCTCGAGCGGGCCCAGTAACGTCTCCATCATGAGACTTGTTACTGTGTTTGGCATATCAAATACGTCACGGGTAGCTTGCCAGGCTCTGCCATGCGGGCGAGATACTCTCGGTAGCTTGCCGGGCTGTAGAGAACAAAAAAATAAACACAGTGGCTATAGCAAAGAAGAAATCTAGCAGTTCACCAGGAAGGAACTGGAGGGGATAAGTCTGAGTGAAGTGAGTCAGAGGAAGAACAAATACCAGACGATTTCCATCGTATGGAGAATAATGAAACAGAGGAAGGGAAGAAACAGTGGCCAATGGTAACAAGCCTTGCCTCTGCCTAGAAAAGAAAATGGTATTGGCTCCCTGATGGGGTGGGGCTGAGACATTGTGTTTCTAGGACCCAAAAATTAAAAGATGGGAGTGGGGGTCCAGAGAGATAGCAAAAGACTGAGCACAGTTTGCATGCAGCAGGCCCAGGTTCAATCCCAGGCACTGCCTTGTCCCCTGAGCACTTCTGGGAGCAGACCCCAAGCACAGGGGAAAGGACTCTCTCGCAGGGTTTGGGAGTGACCCAGAAAAACATTTTTAATGGCTTGTTTTACATTCTTTTTCAAACTTTGCTTTGTTTTTGGGCCACACCTGGCAGGGCTTATTCCAGGCTCTGCACTTCTTGGCCGGCTCATGGGATGATATGGGATGCCAGGGATGGAATCTGGGTTGGATACAGACAAGGCAAGCATGTTACTTGCTGTACTCTCTCTCTGGCTGTTTTACATTCTCTTGATAGCTTTCTCAGTGGGCAGTTTAGTGAATTGTTTTGTTTGAGGGCACACACTAGTGTGCCCAGGCACAACTTGGGTTGGTGGTCAGGGATTGCTCCTGGCAGAGTGCCTCGGGACCGAGCCCAGCCTCCTGCATGCAAAGCCTGCACTCTGCATTGAGCCACCTCTCTGGCTCTGGTAAACCAAGTTTTGCTTTTTTGGGTTTGGAGGCATACCCAGTGGTGCCTGGGATTTATTCCTGCCTCTATTCTCGGGGGTCACTCCTGGCTCTTGAAGGACCCTGTGGGGTGATGGGGATTGTACTGGGGTTGCTCACATGTGCCCTCCCACTGCTATATCCGACCCTTCTTTACCACTTTATGGGCCAACTTCCCAAGTGCCCACTGGGTGGGTCAATGCTCAGGCCCTATGGTGCTGGAGTCCCCCAAGGCTACACTTGGGGCTATGTAGTATATCCAAGGTCATTTATATACACCCCAAATTTGCTCAGGGATACTTGTGGAGTTTTTTGGGAGGGTGGGGTCAAGATTTACCAGTGGTGCCCAGAACTTACTTCTGGCTTTGCATGCAGGGATCACCCTTGGGGGCCTCAGGGGACCTGATGGGGGCCCTGGGGATTAAATTCAGTATGGATATGTGTAAGGCAAACACCCTCTGCTCAAGGATATTTTTTTTTTTTTTTGGCTTTTTGGGTGACACCCAGCAATGCACAGCGGTTACTCCTGGCTCTGCACTCAGGATTTACTCCTGGCGGTGCTCAGGGGACCATATGGGATGCTGGGACTTGAACTCGGGTCGACCGCATGCAAACGCCCTACCCACTGTGCTATTGCTCCAGCCCCCTCAAGGATATTTCATTTAATGTTTTCTTGTTTCATGGGTGTTTTGGTGACTTTTTCTTGGTTGAGGAGTTTTCCTTTAGTATGAGCTCTCGTTTTCATCTATTCATTTTGTACATTTAGGGTGATTTCCAAGGTTTCTAATTCAATTGCATCTGCATCTTTTATTTTCCATCCTCATTTCTTACATGTTTTAATGTTTGATGAACAATATAATCAACTTCAAGTTTAGCATTCCTTAGTTATGAAGGTGTTTGTATATGTGGGTGTCTAGGCCGGCAAGATACCAAGAGTATCTCGCCCATACGGCAAAGCCTGGCAAGCTCCCTGTGACGTATTTGATATGCCGAACACAGTAACAAGTCTCACAATGTTACTGGGTCCGCTTGAGCAAACTGATGAACAACGGGAGGACCGTGACTATGACCGCGTGTGTGCATATGCATATAGTTGTCCTTCACTGTATGGTATACCTGATAAAAGTAATTGTCATTATCTTCAGGCATCTCGAGCAGATTTTTTCCAAATTCCTTTGTCTGCAGGGTAGAAAATGAATGAAGCAGGATTAGGGAAATGTATAATTCAGGGCAAGGTTATACGTGATGTGGTTAGGGACACAAGTTGCCGGAGCTGGGGTATAGGTTGAAGAGAGATGACAGAAATGCTCAAGGATGGGAAGAGCAGCTGAAGAGATGAGAAGAGTCCAGGTTGAAGGGAGGTTGTGTGTGGCCAGCCACCAGCTATGTCTCCTGGGAGGACTTTGGGACGGTCCTGAGTACAGCTGTTCTCTCTGTTCTCTTGCCAGGCTATAAGCCAGATGAAGGAAGGAGAGGGGATTCTTGCGAAGGTGACAGTGGGGGCCCCTTTGTCATGAAGGTAAGCAGATCTTCTGGGGGTTGTGAAGGGTGGTGAGGGACAGTAACCTGATAGGACAGTGTTGACATGACCTGGGACTATCCTGTTATTTCTTCCTCAGAGTCCCTATAATAATCGCTGGTACCAAATGGGCATCGTCTCGTGGGGTGAAGGCTGTGACAGGGACGGAAAGTACGGCTTCTATACACATGTGTTCCGCCTGAAGAAGTGGATGCAGAAGGTTATTGATCGGTATGGTTAGGGGCCACTCCATGCTAATTCCTGACTCCAGAACCACAGAAACCAACCAAGTCAAAGAATTATTTTTGTTTTGGTTCTAAAACTATGAAAGGAAATAAAAGGAACACTGTTCATGGGAATTCAAAAAAAGCCAGTACTTCTGTTGGTTAGAAACAGATAAGGGGTCAGGGAAATAGTCAATGGGCTGAATGCAGACTTTGCATATGGGACCGGTTTTGATCCCCACTAGGGGGGACCCTTAAGCACTGAACTGTGAGTACACACTAGTAGCAACAAGTGTGGTTCCTGGAACCAAAAACCAAACAAACAAACAAAAAACAAGTCAACAAAAATTCCACCAAAATCAAACACAAATGATTTAAGAGGGTGGAGGACATGGTTCCAGGGGCTGGAGCACAGTTTTGCATGTGAGAGGCCTGGGTTGACCCTCAACACCAGATGGTCCTCTGAGTGACATCAAGCCTTTACCACTGAGCTGAGAGAAGCTTCAGACCAACAATGAAACTGCCTTCAAACCATCCTTACCCCACCCAAATCACAACAATGAATTCACCAGGGAGCCAGGTCAAAGACAGTGAGTGTATGCTGGACGTCTTTGATCCCCAGCACCGCATGGTCCCCGGTACCACCCGGTGTGATCCAAAACCCAAAACCAAAACAAGCAAAAGTGGCCCCAAGCAATAGTACGGCAGGTAGGATGCTTGCCTAGCATGTGGTTAGCCTGGGTTCAATCCCTGGTCCCCTAGATGGTCCTCTGAGGACTGCCAAGAGCTAGGAGTCAGCTCTGCAATGCCAGATGTGGCCCCAAAACCTAAATAGAAAAAGCAAGCAAAATAAATAATCTCCTGAGGTCAGAAAGATAGGTCAGTGGTCAGAGGTGCAGGCCTGGAATTCACAAGGTTTCCATCTTTATCTCCTGTGCCATGTGGCCTCTGAACACCACTGGGTGTAGCCCTGGAGCACTGCACTGCTGGATCTGAGCACTGCACCATCTGGTTGGTTAGCTGAATATAAGGGCAGCTTCAGGTTCCCCGAGCACTGCTTGGCAGTCTCGCCCTCCCCCACACCTCCAAAAAAAGAATCTATCACCCATAGGTCAGGGTGAGTGAGGTCCCTCCTCAGCTCACTGGATGTGCTCACCTCAGCTTGGGTCAATGAGTCCAAATCCACCTGCAGTGTTAGCACAACCTCACATACTGTTGGTCAAAAAGCCCCAGCGTATTTGGAGCCCTTAGTAGCCGCGGAGTGGAATTTACGACCAAAGCCAGACGCAGGGAGGAATGACGATCTCTGCAGCCCAGGAAGCTGCATGCAAATGAGTTCCTCCTAGTCCACAGGAGTAAAGGTCTCACTCAGCACCAAGAAAAATGGTGCTCCTAGAGGACGGAGGAGCCATCCGGTCCTGAGCACAGGGTCCTGAGCACAATTCCCAAACGTGGAGTGTCTGGGGAGACGGTTATAGTTAATGCAAACTTTATTTATAAAAGACTCTTAAATTAGTTGTATCATGCCATGCTTCCATAGAGAATACAGTGACCCTTCAGGGCTACAGGGAAAAGAGCTCACAAACTGAATGGAAAACTATTAAAAGAGTTTCTAGTAGTAAGGAAAGATTAGGACAACTTTACAAATAAACAATTACAAATCAAAGAAATAGGACAGTTAAACTAGGCTGAGCTGAGAGGAGGGCAGAGCTTGTTTACAAGTCTGTACACTAAACTACTACACAGACAGTCTGCTAGCGAGGCAGGACGCTGACGGGGAGAAGCAGAGTATGTACAAGTACTTGTGCCACAACAACTCCTCCCCCCAGATCCACGTATGATACATACAACCAGTCTGTGTACGCCGGGCCTGCCAAGGCCACTTCGACTATGAGGGCTTCTAGTTTAGTAAACTAAAGCTGCGGGGTGCCAGGGGTGGGCAGCTTCACTTGCGACTGCTCTTTATTCTCTCCAGTCTCTTTTTCAAGTCATCGATGTTGGCCGTGGAGGAGGGGGGCACAGTTCCTGAGGAGTGAGTCTGGTTTGAGTCCAGCTCCGCGTGCTGGTGCTGCTCTCGGGACTCCCGGAGCTGGGAGAGCTTGCTGTGCAGCATGTCCGTGGATGAGGCCACGGGAGGGACGGCTGGCTTGGAGAGCAGAGAAGTGAGCGGAGGCCGGTCGTCTTGCTGCTAGAGAAGAAGCCAACGCCAGCTCAGCCGGCCAGGAGGCGGCTGGGCAACCACCCCCCCCGCCCCGCGGGCTCCCAGCAGGAAGGGGTCAGTACCTTGGTATTGTCCAGACCACAGCGCTGCCGCAGGATTTTCAGCCTTTCCAGGTAGACGGAGGGCCCCACTTCCTCTCCATTCGAGTTCACGATGGAGGACACTGTGCCTGTGGTGGTAGACATGCATGAGACCTCCATCTGCGGGGAGATGCCTAGAGGACACACGGAAACACTGTTCAGGCAGACACACACCCCAGCCACCTAAGGGAACGGTTTGGGACCTGAATATTGCTGAGGCTGGAAACTAAAAATCCCAAGGCTCCACCTGGAATTGGCGACAACGGGTATCCGGAAATGCAGAAGATAAGCAGAGTGCGAACTCCCAGAATGGAGTCAGAGGCACACAGTTAGCTGGGCCATCATCTGCACACTGGGCTCTGTGGGGCTGTGGTCTGTACTGCTGAGGCAGACCTGGGCAATCCAGACAGCTCACCCACTCCGACATACTCTGTGATTGTACAACTGACGAATTTAAGGACTTCCAATGTAGGCAAGAATGCGACAGGAGCCATAAGGAGAGCTCTCATTCAAAGAGGGGAGGGGCAAGGAGTGTAGACAGAACCTGGGGCGACAGCGCAGCACACACCTGCACCCCAGGCCCTGAGTTTGACCCCCAGCATGGGGATGGGTGCGGCGGGGAGAACGTACACAAGAAAGGGGGGGAAACTGAGGTGTTCAGAAAACATACCAAAAGGAACAGGAATTCAAATGTCTACAACCCCCAGCATGAAAATCTCTATTTTGGTAGGAGAGTGAAAAACCATACTACCCATCATGGCACCTAAATTTCTAAGAAGTAAAAAATAAAGGCACTGGGGGGCCAGAGAGAGAGAGAGTACAGCGGGTCGGGCACTTGCCTCACATGCAGTCAGCCCAGGTTTTATCACCGGTACACTGAGCTCTGCCAGAAGTAATCGCTGAGTAGAGTCAAGTGAAGCCCTGAGCACTGCTGGGTGCGGCCCCCAAACCAAAAAGCAAACTAAAAATCCAAAAAGTACAAACAGAATAAACTCCAGGCATTCTGGTAGGTATATGAAAAGGTGTTCTCCATTAATACTAATCAGTAGGGAAATAGCAAAATGATAGGACCAGATACATAATATAAGGGGTAAGGTGCTTGCCTTACATGTGGCCAACCCTAGTTTGATCCCTAGCACCGCATATGGTCTGGGACCAAGAGCAAAACAGTCCTAAAAACAAAACAAAAATAATCCCAACCAACCAACAAATTCCCCAAAACAAAGAAACCCAATTTGGACCAGGGAGCCAGATTAAAGGACGATGCATGCTCTGCGTGCTGGAGGTCCCAGTTGATCCCTGGCACTGCATATCACCCAAGTGACTCCCTAAACATGGAGCCACGAATAGGCCTGAGCACCGCCAGGTGTGACCCCCAAAATAGGAGCCAGACAAAGAGCTCAACAGGATGAGCGCATGCTTCGCACGGGGGTGTGTAGGTATGATGGTATGTGTGGTGTGTGTGTGTGTGCATGCATGCATGCGTGTGTGTGGCACTGCTGAGACCAACTCCTAAGCACAGCCAGAAGCCCCTGAACACTGACACACTGCCAGGTATGGCTCAAAATAAACAAGAAGAACAAACAGAAAATCAGGGCTGGAGAGATACTACACTAGGTAAGGTACTTGCCTGGCATGTGGCTGAGGTTAGATCCCCAGCACCTTATATGATCTCCTGAGCACTGCCAAGAGTGATCCTTAAGTACAGAGCCAAGTGTAATCCCTGAGCACTTCCAGGTGTGGCCCAGGAAACAAACAAAAAGATCCCCAAACAAAAATAGCCAACTTGATAATATTGAAAATTTATAATATACACCAAAAAGTTGAGGTTCTGGGAAGAAAAATCTCCTTGTGATTAAACAGAAAAGTGAAAGAGGTCACTGCAGGGTAAAAGGGAGCCCTTCTGTTGGGAGGGATGCACACATGATGGGGCTTAGAGCTCTCCTGGCATGGTTGCTCAGGGGGCTGCTCCCAGTGTTGCCAGCGATCAAATGTAGGGTTCCTGAAGATAAAACATGTGTCCCAGAGATTGGAAAATTTTTTTTCACCTTTTCCTAAGCTGGAAAATATGAAAACCAGAGCAGGTGTGAAATGAAGGACAAGGTAAATGACAGCAGCAGCAGATGGCTGAATGTTTAATCAGAAAGACATGATATAATCAGTGGGACACGTGTATACTGCAAGGTGCCAGGAAGGCCAAAAGGATCAATGAGATGGTGGACATGGCCAGATTTCTTACCTGGAAATGAGAAAAGAAAGCCTGACTCTAATCAATCAAACAATAAGATGGCCATGTGTGGTGATTGGTGATTAAACATTCTGCTCAGTTACACTTTAGGAAATAAATTCAAACACATCAGCCTAGCAAGGACTGGGGAGGTAACACAGCACAAAGGGTGGAAGAGTACGGAGAGCCCCGGGTTTGATCCCTGGTACTACCTGTCCCTTGGGCACCACCCGGAACGGTTTCTGAATACTTTCAGGGCTGACCTGCCAAACCAAGACCCAAACTCCAAAACTTCAGCTCAGCGAGTTTAAGAGTGAGTGGGAACAGAGGCTAGTGCAACAGCACAGCGAGTAGGGTGCTTGCTTTGATTCCTGTATCCCATATGGTCCCCTGATCACCCGCAGGAATGCACCCTGTGTACAGAGCCAGAAGTAACTCCTGAGCACCAACAGGTGCTCCCCACCTCACCCCCAAGAAAGCCTTCCGTCCAAAACAAACAAACCAAAAAAGTGAGTGGGGAACTTCTGAAGCTGGGAATATTCGTTTTGATTTAAAGCTGTTGACAGTTGTTTTCCTTAACTGCTACCTCTTACTACTTTCTTCTGTTCCAGATCCTATGCAAAGTAATTTTCAGTTACTCTCCTTTTGCACTACAGCCTAGTACCAGCATAGGCATCCATGCATTTCATTTAACAAATAACTACTGAATGCCTATCATATACTAGGCAAAAGGAAAAAAATCCCTGTATTCCTGGGTATTTTATTCTCTGTTTTTGGGCTACACCTGGCTATGCGTAGTGATTATTCCTGGCTCTGTGCTCAGGAATTAGTCCTAGTGGGTGTAGTTGCCCATATAGGATGCTAAGGATTAAACCCAGGTCAGATGCCTTACCCACTGTACTACAGTTCCAGGCCCACTCCTGGGTATTTTAAATTCTAGCAGACAAACATCAAACAACCTAAGAAATAATAAATTACATGGTATGTTAAAGGTAGTGAAGTGCTACAGAGGGTTGAGAAATAGGTAGCAAGTTTCATTTGAAAATTATTGAGGTTTGTTTTGCATGACAGCAAAGTGTACACTCAACCCTTTGGGTCAACTCTCAGGCCCTGTAAACAAATTTTCATTTAAAAATTTTGTTGAAGGGACAACTTTAACACTGCTTAGGGAGACCATGTGCTGCTGGGAACAAAACTGGGTGTCCAGAATGCAAAATATGCACTCCGGTCCTCTGAGTTGCAAGTTTTAAGAGCTCTCTCATTGATAGTGAGATTTTTAAACACAAATCTGAGAAGGAGAGGGAACTAATCACAGGTTCTCTTGGGGAAGAGTGATCTAAACAATTTTCCAACCAATAAAGGACAGGCTTCAGAAAATGTCTGCGACGTGTCTGATATAATACATAGGAAGAGCAGTTAGATGGGAGGTTCGTCCTCTAGCATTCAGGGAAGTGGGTGAGATCTCGGAGCAGTGACTGTGAAGCTGAGGAGATGTGAGATGTGAGTGAGCCCTGGGAATGACACTAACAGAAACTCAGAGAAAAGAAGAAAAAAAGAGACCAGAAAGGCACAGCAAGGTTGGAAGAAACCAAGGGAACACAGAAGCCACAAAATCAACCACTCCTTCCCCCAGCACCCCAGCCCCAGTGGAGACTGCGAGCAGAGGGAGTGTCAGGATCACTCTGGTGCATGTGGGCAGCTCTGGGACTGGAGGCCTCATGACTGTGCCTGAACCACTTAGCCCTCTTCTGGGTCTCAGATGAAGGGTTTTTATTATTTTTTAAATTTTTATTATTTGTTGGATGGGGGTGAGGGTGGGGGGGATGGCATACCAGGCAATGCTTGTGCTGGGGACTGAATCTGGGTCGGTTACTTGCAAGGCAAATGCCCCACCCGCTGTACTATTGCTTGGACCTCTCAGATGAACTGTCTAGAGGGCAGCCTGAACCATGTCACATGGTAGCAAGAGGTCAAGTCAGGAAGCCAAGAGGTGACCACTGTCAGATGAGCGGCTGATGCTGAGGGGATGGGGAATGGATATAATCGGTGAAGCTGCTGGTTCCTAAGCTACTGAGCTCATTCCTGGAACAACGATACCTGTTGAAGTGGGAATCCGGCCTTTGCCCTCCCGCTCCATCTCGATCACCCGGAGGCCTCTCTCAACATAGCTCTGGAAGAACTGTGAGGAGTTTTTCAAAAATGGCTCAATGTCAGCATCTGAGTATTTCTTCTTGTACTCATACAACTCTGCTAGGCCCTAGGTTAACAGAAACAAGAGGTGGGATGAATGTAATTAGTGATCCTTTCCCCAAAATGGCCCCTCTGAGCCCAACTTCTTCCTTCTCACCTCTTTGGTGTTCTCTTTAGAACCAATCTTCTTAAATATCTCAGCTAAGAAGTCATTCACTTTGGCCTTTGATGATTTTTCATCCTGAAAATTTGAAAGACAGACAAGGACGAGGTGTGGTTGGTGAGGCTGAACTTAGGAAGAAGTAGTAGCCCAAGAATTGAAAGGGTCTCAAAATTCAGTTCCTTTTTAATTTTTTAAATTTTGGGGCCACACCGGTGATGCTCAAGGGTTACTGCTAGCTGTGCATTCAGGAATTACTTCTGGAAGTGCTCGGGGGACTATATGGGATGCCGAGGATCAAATCCGGGTTGGCTGTGTATAAGGTAAACACTCTACCCATCGTACTATTGTCCAACCCCACAAAATTCAATTCTTAGAGGTATGTTCCTGCTGAAACAAAAGCACCAATGTTAAGGCTCTGCAGCAGAACGACACAGCTGAAGAGGAAGGAACTGGCCCATTCCTCCCTGAGAAAACAGTGCCTATACTCGCTCCACCTGGTTCCCAGTGCCTTAGGCCTGGACACAAAACTATCCTTAGAACAAAGAACACCTCAGAATGCTTCATCCTTGCAGCCTGTTTAAAGGGTCAGTGTCATAGCAGGAGTGACTGAGTGCTTAGAGACAGGCACCAACACCGTATCTTCATGAGATAAATGGACTGTCAGGGCACTCACTATTCGAGATGCTCCCTTTTCAGTTTCCTTGTCAGACTTGCTCCCTGACTGGTCCATACTGTGCTTCATCATGCGGCAGAGGTGGGCCTCAAGCTCCGACTCATTCTTGTTGTCGATCATTGTGAGGTGGTCGAGGATCTGCGGGAGACAGGAATACTCAAATGGTAGCAATACTGTTTCCAGCATGTTCTCTTAGGCTCCCACAGGAACCAGTGCCTGTTTTCACTCACCTTGGGTCCTTTTAATTTGCATAAAGTGTGCAGCAATGTTTTCAGGGTCCTTATGGGAAATTCACTTTTGCACTGTTTCAATTTCTCCTTGGGAAAGACCTTCATGAAAATGTGTATATCTAAAAGAATTCTGTCTAGATTAATGTTGTTGATGGTATCAGGTAACAATCGGACCATTCTCCAGAGACACTATTTTAAAGAAAAAAACAACAGAAGGAGAGTTAAAGCACTTGACTTCATACATCAGACCCTGGTTTGATCCCTGGCACCATATATGGCGTCCTGAGCACACTCAGGATGAGTCCCTGCGTATTATTGGGTATAGTCACACCCTCCCACTATATTGCTGGGTGGAGCCATCCCCACTAAAAAAAGTTAGGTGGAATAACTGAAGAATGAGAAGAATTTGTCTCCATTTTCCTAAGCAATGAATTCTTTCTAAAGCAGAATCAAGGATATAAATAAAAAAAAATATATATAAATGTAATTATCACTAGGTAATCTCTTCCCACTCCCTAAAGAGAAGCTTTCTAAATGATAAGAAAAAAATGCAAACTCCTGGATTTGCTGGGCACCTGAGAGTAATTATGTTACTTAGCCAAGTCTAACCCAAGAAGACCAAATATTTACTATTAAAGTATATTAGTGGTATTATAGTATTTTAGAAACAGTTGGCATCTTCCAAAAAATACCCAAGTATTACAGAACTGTGCATATTTTCCCTACAACTAAGAGTTTGCCTCAAAGTTTTTGCCATACTGGTGAGATATTTATAACAACACTTACTTTTAGTGCATGATATACTTAGGTCTCAGTTTTGAGTATACATTGGAGGAAGGGAAAATTGGAGACAAATTATTTTCAGATGTGTCATAGTTTGAATTTTATTTCCAGCTCCTCTTCCACCATACTTTAACAAAACATTGCTCTTTTGAAAGAAACAAACTTTACCTTCATAACAAGCTCTGAAAATTTGGGAGAACTGGCTGTTGCTAGTAGGCTGTCTTGAAGCAAAACAAGTAGGGCACTAGAAGGGGAAAAAATCCAATAATGATAAAGGGAAGTGGTCACTCTGGTTGAGAACTGGGTGCTGAAAGAGGTAAAGTCATATACATAATATCCTCTCAGTAACAGTACTGCAAACCACAGTGCTTGAAAGGAAAAAAGAAAAGTGTCTGCCAAAGAGGTAGGTTGGGGGCTGGGTGGGAGACTGAGGACAGTGGTGGAGGGAAATGGGACACTGGCGAAAGGATGGGTGCAGGAACACTATATTTGAAACTCAATCAAATAGTTATTGAACTCTAATTTTGTAACTCACAGTGATTCAATTAAAAAATCCATTAATATCCTAAGTTTCAAGCCTGAATTCTAATTACAACAAATGAAGGACAGACCAAATGTAAATATTCTCTAGCCTTTTAAAAAATAAAGAGTGGGGTTAGAGAGATAGTACAGTTGGTAGGATGTTTGTCTTGCGCCTAGCCAACCTAGAATTAATCCCTGGTACCCCATGTTATCCCCGAGGAGTGATCCCAGAGCATGGCTGGGTGGGTCCACAAAGAACTTTTTATAAAGGGTTCACTGACCAGGAATTATCTTTGATTATTTGATATTCAGTTATTAAGAAAATAACATCATTAATTTGCTGCAAGTTGCCACTTTATAAATAATAAAGCTATTTTTCTTTCTTTTTTTGGGGGGGAGGGTCACACCTGGCAATGCACAGGAGTTACTCCTGGTTCATGCACTTAGGAATCACTCTTGGCAGTGCTCAGGGGACCATATGGGATGCTGGGAATTGAACCTGGGTCGGCCGCGTGCAAGGCAAAAGCCCTACCCACTGTGCTATTGCTCCAGCCCAATAAAGCTATTTTTCATTGTTGCTGGTAACTGAGAAAGAAAGAAAAGTACTGAGATGTACAAAAAAAAAAAAAGAAGTTGGATGATAACCTCTTAGTCTTATTTTAGAAAACTTGTGAGATGCACTGGCTTGCTGAAGTTGCTACAGATTTGATCTGCTGACTCATGTTGGAACACCTTTAGTTTGTGAGTTACAGTAAGAAATCAATTTACTAGGTAAATTTTAAGCTACAACCAACCTAGTGACTTCTGGTTCCTATGAGAAGACAAGAAGAGGGGATGTTCTAGGCTCTAAAATGGAGGGTACCAATATACCTCAAAATGTTGGTTTGATCGGACTTCTCCAGAACCTTCACCACCAAGAGGTTCACAGATCGGATCACCTGTTGGCCTTCCTCCAGATCTTCAATTCGAGAGTCCAGCATTAGGGTGATGAGGCCATGCATTAGATCTTTTAGTACTCCAGTGGAGGCCTCCCGGGCTAGACTCTCTATCTGAAACAGCTATGAATCATAACGGTGTGAGGGAGACATAAACCTCAATAGACAGCAAGGAAGCTAACATGAATGGCATAATCCAGTAAACAAATGGATTTCTTAAATTTCAGAGTATAATGAAGAAATAAAAATCACCTCTCCCCCAACTCTTATTAATAATGCTTCCTTCCTTATAAGAGCACATATAATAGGAAAAGTCAGTTAGAATCCACCATGCCAGATGAAGAAAGTGATAGAAACAATTCAAGATAGTTAAGTATCCTAACAAAAAGTAAGCCAGATATCCAATGGATATAGCAGCTGGCATGTAAAATCCTACAAGTGACAAACACAAGGACACCTGACTGACTTGGGCTTTAGAACCCGGGCAGGATGAGGGCCTGAAGGGAAGCCCACGACACATGTGGAGATGACTTACCGAAATCATATTGCCAATGATACAGCTGTACAATTTGATGATTTCATCCTTCTCCAATTTCTCATCTGCCATGTGTGTGTTGTAAATAAGTCTCAGTTGCATGAACGTGGCTATGAGAAACTGATCAATATGGCCGGACATAGCTTCAGCTTTGTCTTCTTGTCTCAGGACTTCATCAATCTGATTAAAACAACAACAACAAAAAGACCAACATATAATTTTTCAATCTTCATACTTTCTTAGTAGCATGAAGATACTAAAAGGATATTTCTGGGGCAGGAACAATAGTTCAGCAGGTAGGGCTTTTGTCTTGTACATGGCAGACCCGGGTTTGATCCCCGGCACCCTATATGGTCCCCTGAGCACCACAAGGAGTAATTACTGAGTGCAAAGCCAGGAGTAATCCCTGATTGCAGAGCCAGGAGTAATCCCTAATTGCCGGGTGTGACCCAATTGCCTTGACCTCTGTATTCTCTCTCCAGTGTGAGGATCTTTCTTATATTAGCCAAGGACTTCCAATAGTTTAACTTGAACTATGATAGGTAAATTAGTAGCAGACCCTATTGCTAGAGGCACTCATATTAAAGAGTAACTGTCCAAATAATTTAAATTTAATTAATTTATTTTATATTAAGTGGTGATGGGGCTCTTCCTGTTCTGTGGTTGGGAAGGACTCTCTCTATGGTGTGTAGAGAACCATGTGGTCCCAGGGATCGAACCTGGGCCTCCTGCATGCAAAGCATGGACCCTATATTGTTGAGCTATTTCCTTGGCGCTATCTGATTCTGTATTATCTGTTTTTTCATTTATCTACTCAAATAAAGAGCTATAAAACCATGGTGCTCTTTTGGTTTTGTTTTACTAGAAAAAAATTCCTGTAAGTAAATCTTAAATATTTCTACATACTCCCTTTCCCCCTTATCATCTTTGTCTCCTTCAGCAGACTCATTTTTCCCAAGTGCATTTGGTTATTTTGTTATTCTTTCCAGTCAACTAAAGTGTGGTCCCTTATATTATTCTTATTCACTTACTTAGGACACATTCTTGGTCTGCTTTCAAAACCCTTGGCTTTGAAAACTGAGAAATCAGTTTACTTTTACAATTTTACAATTACTGGGGAAATCTGAGAACAATGGGAGATACCAGGTTCTGTCCTGGTTGGTGGTGGTCAATCAGCTGGCAAGTTCATCATAAGATACCAGGTAAGAGAAGCCATCTCTGCTCTTCAATTGCTGAAGGTACAAAACTAGGTTTCTGTATCCTCAGACAACGAATTCAACCTATGATCCAGCTCCCAAGAGATCCGTTAGAGGCTAGGCAATCACCAGGTCTAATCATTAACACTTAATACAAGCCAACGTTGCTCTTCTTTACAGAACTTAAGTATCTCCAAAGAGAGGTCTCTCCCCGACCTGACCCAACAGAACCCCAGCAGCCAAAAACTCCAGAACTCAATGGCCGCAATGCTCGTGGCTGATCTTTACAAGGCTCAGATGAGCCTCTCACATGAGAATGAATTCGCTGAAAAACTCAGGTATGCGGGTTTTGTGACTGAAACTTCCACGCTCGCTCAGAGTCAGGAATGGGCGCCCTCCCACCATCTCCCTGTGCTTCTGGGTGCTTTGCAGTCATGCCCAGGAAATACCTCTGGGCGCCATATAAGCTCATTAATGGCCATGATCTAGAGACTCACAAATAAATCTCAGAAGAGAACAATAAGCCGCAGAGATGCCTCCAGACCCCCCAAATCACCATCCAGTTAAAAATTTAACTCCAGCTCTGGTACCCAACTAAAAATTTTAGAATTCCCGGAGTGCAAAGCTGTGAAAGTGGCCATGTGACATCTCATACTTTATGCCACTGATATACCCAAAGTAGCACACCACATTTGATGGGATGCAAAGTAGAAGGCAACTGATCTTGACTTATGCACACAAGTCTCAAGCTGTAACATGTTAGTTATCTCTTATACAGGGGCTTAATAGCTCCGAGATGAGACACAATAGTTTTCACATACTTTCCTCTAAGTAAACCTTTTTGGATCATTATGAGTGGACTATTTATAACAAGCAATACAAAATAAATTATTTAGCATCTGCCTTTTGGGGCAGACTTGGGTGGTGGTGGTAAAATTCAAAATAATGGTGGTGGGAAGGTGCAAAGGTGGTGGGATTGGTGTTGAAATACCAAATGTAATAAATTATTGTGAACTTTATAAAAATAAAATTAAAAAATAAAAAGTGCTAATGTCCCCCCCGAAAGCACATACCCCCCCCCCAAAAAAAAACACAAGGAGAGGTCTCTATCTTCAGGATTTCTGGTATTAGAATTATCTTCTACTTTTTCAAGACAGAGCTTGGGACTTATCCCATATCCACTTCATTCACAATCTACCAGAACCAGTAGCATCTACTCAGAAAAGATAGATAGATAGGGTTTGAATTGAAGCTGACATAGAAAAGGAAGTGGGGAAACATTTATTCAAGTCACTTTTTACAGGATTTCGATCCCCTAAGTTTATTTTCTTCCAATATCAAAACTGCTAACAGGTGGGGCTGGAACAACAGTATAGGGGGTGAGGCTTTTGCCCTTGAAGGTGGTTTGATTCCTGACACCCCATATTCCTGCTTCATGAACTCCACTAGGAGTGATCCCTGAATGCAGAGAGAGGACTAAAGTTTTGAGCACCACTGGGTATGGCTCCAAAACCAATCAAACATCATTATCATCATCATCATCATCATCATCATCATGTTAATAAAAAACTGGGGTGGGCATCATCATCATCATATTAATAAAAAACTGGGGTGGGATGGGAAGAGAGAGTTCCAATCACCTCTCTCCAACCACCCTATTTGAGAGTATGTATGTATGTTTGTTTGGCCCATACCTAACAGTGCAAAGGGGCTATTCCTGCCTCAGTGCTTGGGGCACAGATATGCTTTCAGTGGTGCTGAGGGAACAAGCAGGGCTGATTACAGAACCGAGTACTTCTGCATGCAAAGCACAGGCTCTAGCTCCTTGAGTTGACCTGCCTCCGAGTAAGATAGCAATTGTTATCTGAGATTTTTTTTTATTTCCACTGAACTCTAAGTTGAATTCCATGAAATATGGTGCATATTATCTACTGAGTATAAATAAATTTTTATAACTTTGGTGAATAAAGTTATAAAAATGCTAGGTTCTATATCTAGACCTCTATCTTTTGAGGCAAGTAATAACTACTTGTCTTGCTAAGGCACGTGAAATTCAGTATTCTCATAGAATATATTCACCAGTGGAATCACTGTCATCGGTAGCAACCCCATACCTGAGTCAGAGCTTGGATGCTTGTGTTGATGTCACCACTGGCCACTTGGGAGATAATGAAATTGATTGTGGATGCTGTATTACTGTGCATATCATCAAAGTGTGGAGAAACAGCTCGGATCCTAGACAGCAGAGTAAAGGGAAAAATTGAAACTTTAATCACAAAACAACTGAGTTGAAATTATGCAATTCCCTATTAAAGAACTGTTATTAGTAAGAATGGTTATAAAAATGTTTAAACTGTACATGGCACTCTGTCCATGCTATGTGCTCTGATACTCACATTCTACTTATAATTCTATGAAAGAGGTCAACTTACTTGGGTTCAGGAATAAGGACTGGTTCAAAAATATCATCCAGTTTGTGCTGAACAAGTTCTGGCATTTCACACCGGACTGTACCATTGTCATTCTCAATCTCATCAAGATCCAGTTGAAATTCTCGGCGAACCATCTGGGATGCCTCAGGATGCCCACTCATGCTTCGGGCTTGGCTAGGGGAAGCAAAAGGAAGCACTTAACTGTAAGAGGCTTCTGAAGCAAAGGGCAAGAATAACATTGCCAGTTGCCCCAAAGCTTCAAGACAGATGTTTAACTTCTGGTTTCAGCCCCGCTGAAAGATTTAAGTTCCTTGAATCTAAGCAAGTGGCTTCAATGTCAATCACCCTGGTTCATGAATATCCTGAGATCGCAAAGAATATTTTTTAGGGACGGGGGAGCGGGGGTGGCAGAGTGGGGGCACAACGGCCTCAACCACTGTACTATTCTCTCTTGCCCATGGACTTTAACTTGTACTTATAGCACCTAAAAAGTTTTAAACTTTTTCCCTCCCCCCTGGGCCATGCTCAGCTGTACTCAGATCTTTCTCCTGGCTCTCTACTCAGAAATCATTCCTTATTGGATGCCTTATGGGACCATATAGATGCCAGAGATCAACCCGGGCTGGCCGTGTTTAAGGAAGTAACCTACTTGCAGTACTCTGGGCCCATTTTTAACTTTTATTATTCTTATTATTTTGGGCTACAAAAACTGGCTGTGTTCAGGGACTACTTCTGGCTCTGTGCTCAGGGGTCACCACTGGTGGTGCTTGGGGGACCCAACGCTGTGCAGTGCCAGGACTGAGCATGTGCAGAGCAAGGGTCTTAGCCGCTACATTATTTCTCTGCCCTCAGAATAGTGAACTATTCTTTCAAGTTCACCAAAGCCAACAAACTTTGTATTGCCATTACCTGTCAGGCAGGGAAGACAAAAAAGTGTATCTATTTTGTTTGCTATCTTCCTTCCTATACCACCGAGTGTATTTTGGACCACATTCAGTGGTGCTCAGACCTTACTTCTGGCTCTGTGCTCAGGGACTACTCCTGGTGGTGCTTGCGGAACACATATGGTGTCCAGGGTAGAATCTGGGCTGGTTAAGAACAAGGCAAGTAACCTTTGTTAACTCTTTTTTTTTTTTTTTTGTTAACTCTTTAGTACCATAAAGTTTACTACTTCTCAGTAAAAATTTAAAACAAATCCAGACTGATTAGATTTTTTTTTCCTATTTCCTAACTAACCAATGTTTCTGTTTTTCTTATCAGAGGCATCATTTCATGCATTATTCAGTATATTTTATACTTTGAGGGGGCAGTAAGGTCACCTAATATAGGAATATTCATTATTGATAGGTCAGGGATAACATTATATCCAAGCAATATATATTTAAAGTTTTCAATCAAATTGCTTTAAGATTATATTCATGAAAAAATGCAAAATAGAGATTCTTTGCCTAGAGGCAGTATTCTGAGTTCCTAAACCAACTCTGGTTGCATACATTTTACATACCCTAATCTGAAGAACAGGAATCTAAGCATGACCAAATACAACACAAGGGAAGAAGGTGACTAATATTTTAGCACAACATTGATCTGCCATTCCTATTAGTCAGTGAACTCTCTCTTTTTCTCTTTCTCTTTTTATGGGGGCCACACCCAGCAGTGCTCAGGGGTTACTCCTAGCTCTTCACTCAGGAAACACTCACATGGGTCAGCCACGTGCAAGACAGGTGCCTTACCCACTGTACTATCTCTCTAACCCCTATACTCAGTGAATTCTTATGGATGGTTTGCTTTTTGGATACTTATGGGCACCATCTACCCTGATCGTAAACATTACACCAAACACCCTCCAGAGGGGATGAATCCAAGTCAGAAGTTAGAAAGATATAAGAGCCCTGCTAATGAGAAATTAGCAGGCAGTACTTACATCCTATAAGTGCGATACATAATTCTGTCCACGGAAAAGCAGTGAAAGAAGGCACAAGACTATTTAGAAGTGGTTTTAAGACAAAGACCAAGACAATGAAGAACAAAGGTTAAACAATAAGTTTACAAGACATTTACTGGGACACTTTGTCATGCATGATAATGGTTACAAGAATGTAAGATATGACAGGATAAGCTCTGAGCACACAAGGCAAAGTCCACAAAGATGCTCTGATTTACTCCATCTACATACTTGAGTTTGGAGGACATGTCCTCAGCAGGTCCCTTGCGGAGCATGTTGGCATTGGAGTTTATGTTTTGTAAGCGTTGAGGTTTCTCTTCCACCTGTTTTATTGGTGCAGCAGAAGGCCTCTTAGCTGACCTCTTGATTCTTTCTTCAAGCATGCTCATATCCTTTTCAGAAAGCTATAAAGACAGGTATAAGAGGAAATTAAAATCCTAAATGGAAGACTAAAGAATACCTTCTTTTGGGGCTGGAGCAATAGCACCGCGGGTAGGGCGTTCGCCTTGCATACGGCCGACCCGGGTTCAATTACCAGCACCCTATATGGTCCCCTGAGCACCGCCAGGGGTAATTCCTGAGCGCAGAGCCAGGAGTAACCCCTGTGCATCGCCGGGTGTGACGCAAAAAAAAAAAAAAAAAAAAAAAAAAAGAATACCTTCTTTCACATCAAAGCAAAAAATACATTTACTTTCAAAACACATCTTTTTTTTTTCTGGGCTGGGGGATAAATTTGGGTCACATTCTGTGGTCCTCAGGGACTACTTCTGGCTCTGTACTCAGGAATGACCCCTGGTGGTCCTCGGGAAACTATGTGCTGGCTGTGTGCAAGTTAAGTGCCGGTATCTCCCCTCCTGTATACCTGCTAACCCTCAAAACACTGTATCTTAAATCAATGCCTGCTTTGCTATATAAGAAAACATATGAAAGAAGGGAAGGAGATAGCTGCAAACATGCAATGCAGGTTTCCCTATTTTGGTCATGTTACTACTAACTAGCTATGGGACCACATGGTGAGACATCTCATTTGTAACCATCTGTAAAACTCACAGCTGCTCTATTTCCTTGACTGGCCTGTGGTGGGGAATGAATTACATTTATTCAAGGATCTCACATATACTGTTAGTGCTCTACTGCTGAGCATATTCCCTGACCCTTACAAGTATAAATATTTAAGCATACTGTAAATATGTGTGATGCTAACAGGTAACTGGAGTGAAGAACTGAGGTCCTGCCAAAATAGCAACTGGTTCAAAGTAGTAGGGAGTCAGAAACTGAACCTAATGTGCCTGGTGAGTCTGGCTAACGATTGGCTGAAGCTCAATATTCCCATTCTGGAGCTGGAGAGACAGTACAGGGATTAAAGTGCTGAACTTGCATGTGGCTGACCGTGGTTGATCCCAAGGCATCGTATGGTCCTCTGAGCACTACCAGACATGCACCCCCCCCCCCTCATAGAGCTGGGAATAACCCCCAAAAGAAGAAAAAATAAAATCTTGATCTGATAGGTACCAGTATTCACAATACACACAAACGAGTATTTGGTTTAATAAAAACCATAACATATTAAGGTTTATTGAGTATAGCCAGAGAGAGGGAGAGTTTCAGGCTGAGCCCTTGTAGCCACAAAGTCCCCTGAGCAACATAATGTAGCCCCTGAGACCTGTGAGTACCATCGGGGTGGTCTGAATAAACCCTGGCACCAGCAGGGCCTTGCAGAACCAATTCTCAGTTTCACACATTGAACTGCCAGGCAGGCTGCCTGAGAATTGCTGAGCAGGGGGCCTCAGGTTCCCTGAGCCCTGCTTGAAAGTCCTCCTTTACATCCTTCCCCCAAACCTCTCCAAAAGACTCACTGAGCAGACTGCTAAGAAGAATTAAAATCCCTGAGTGGCCAGATTTCTCGCTTCAAAAATACCTCTCCTTGATAAAAGAAAATTGCTACGAGTAGATAATTCAAAGGGTAGTGTGATTTACAGTAAAATAGAGCCCGAATGTTCTAAACCCTGAAGGATTCTAGGATACTTTGATAGGTCAAAAAAAATTGATAAAAACTTGGCTATAGTTGAGGTGATATGAAACCTGACACCTAGAAAAGTCTTGAGACTCGTTTTACAATATGGTACTGTGCTTAGAGGAAAGTCACTCACGTTTCCAATCAGTTTGAACACCTGGTCCCCATGCACATTGTAGACTGTCACAATGGTGTTGAGGGCAGCATTGCGCACAGCATTGTCACGGTCTCCGATGTGAATTGCTATTTCCTTTAAGGCTTTTCCTGGGGTGGGTTGGCAAACATTCATGCCGTAGGACTCGACCAGACACCCAAGCTCTTCCAGACACTCTGTTGGTAGGAGAAAGGTTAGGTTACTGAAACGCAACATACATCAAAGACCTACCTACATTAATTTCTCTTGGTATACACGAATTAAAACATTATGCTGGTTTTGCCTAGATTTCCCCTTTACTCAATGCCTTCCCTCACACAACAAAACAGTATTGCAGCAGTAGTTGTGGGAGGAAGAAATGCTCGTGAGTCAGATGGCCCCTGTGCACTTGATTTTGTCAACAGGGTGATACTGAGTGGTGCCTGTATCACCTGATACTTGGCTCCACCAGTGTGCAACTCATCACTCTCACAGCACAATTCAGAAGACTAGAATCAACCATACAGACACTACAGATACTTTCCGTCCACCCAGAAATGATTTCTTTTGAGGTCACTGTTGGAAGACTCATGCCTTTATTTATTTATTGGCTTTTCGGTCACACCCGGTGGTGCTTAGGGATCCATATGGGATACTAAAGACTGAACCCAGGTAGGCCCTATGCAAGGCAACCACCTAACCCACTGCACTACTGCTCCAGGCCCGCAATTTAAATTGCTGCTTCACCTGCTCTCTGCTTGGAATTTTTTGATTTGGTTCCTTCCATGATGAATGGGAACATTTTGCTGGCTGGGTAGACAAGGCACATCCGGTTCAGGATGGCACGAACATCTTTACGAATGACATCCTTTGGTTCTCCAACCTAGTTAACAAAGAAAACAACGATAAAGTGAAGCAATTTCTCAGTAACAAAACTGCACCTTTGTATTTTTGTTCTTTTTTGTTTGGGGGCCACACCCAGTGATGCTGAGGGGTGATTCTTGGCTCTGCACTCAGCTAATTATTCCTGGTGCTGCTCTAGGGACCATGTGGGATGCTGGAGATGAAATCTGGTTGGTCATGTGCAAGGCAAGCACTTTACTCATTGAACTATCTCTCCAGCACTCAAAAAAGTACATTTTTTTTTGGCTTTTTGGACCAATCCTGGTGTTGCTCAGGGGTTACTACTGGCTCTGCACTTGGGAATTACTCTTGACAGGGCTCAGGGGACAATATGGGATGCCAGGGATCCCACATGTAAGGAAAATGCCCTATTTGCTGTACTATCTCTCCGGCCCCCAAAATTACAGAAAAGGTGCAGACTGTGCAGTGAAAGACATCAACGTGTGATAAAAAAGAGAGAATGGGAACCTAAGTTTAAGAAATGGGACTAGGAAGGTGACTCAAGAGGCTAGAGCACATGTATAGCATACGGGAACCCTGGGATTAATCCCTGGCACCCACAGTCTCCTGAGCATTAAGTTCTAGAAGTGACTGCCTGAGTGCCATCAGATGAACCAAAATGAAAAAGGTTTCAGAACTAAGGTTTTTTAAGGGCTGGAGAGGTAGCTCAATGGGTTGAGTAAATGAAAAACACTGGGGTCACACCTAGTGTTGCCCAAGGCTTATTCCTGGCTCTGCCCTCAGGGATCACTCCTGGGTCGGCTATGTGCATGGCAAACAGCCCACTCGCTCTACTGACTCTCCAGCTCTAAGGTCCAGGTTTAATCCTAACACTGCATGGTCCCTGATCACCTGTGGAGCAAACCCTGAACACTGAGTCTGAAGTAGGTCCCAAGTACTGCTGGGTATAGGGAGAGGGTGTGGGGAAGGGGAGGGTGGGGGAAAGAAAACAAAAAGGAAATAAGTAGCTAGAAATTTAATAGTCTTCTAGAGTGAAAACAATGTAGTAGAGGCCAGGAATATAGCTTAGCATTTCCTTTACATATATAAGTGAGGCCCTGGGTTCTATCAGTACCACGAACTACCATCATCACATACATACACAGACACACACCCCTAAAACAAACAAAAACCCCACCACATTAGAGCCTCAAAGACTTAAAGTGCCTTAAAGTGCAACATAAAGTTGCACTTAAAGTGCAACTACATGGCCACAAGTTCAAATACTTGGTATTCACATGAACTTAGCATGAACCTGGCAGCTCAGTGAATTGGTCCTGCCAGTGCTAACATGTGCCATCTCTGGTGCTGAAAGTTATTTCCATCACATCACAGCCAGGTGTGTGTGATCACCACAAAAAGGGGTGTTGAGTACTGCAGCTAAAAAGATGTGTGATGGCTCCCGTCAGAAGTGTGACCGCTGGCTAGCAAGTGTGTGAGCATCACAATGGCTGCGGTGTACCTCAAGTAAGAATGGGAGCCCTGGTGAGCAAATGTGCAAGCACCGTGGTCAGGCATGTGTGCCACTCTCAGTCCCAGCAAGACATCAGTAACAATGAAGGGAAGATGGAGAGACAGAGGGAACAGAAATTAAAAAGAAAAAGACAGAAAAATCCCACCCCTCATCCCCTGGCCAAAATACCCCCAAAACAATCCATGTTACCTTGAGAATGAGATAGGGGATGAAGGAAGAGGCTTCGTTCTCAGTGAGATGATATTCCTCCTCACTTAGCAGGGCGAAGAGTAATTTTAAATATTCCAGGGCTTTCATTAGGACGCTTGTATTGGTGTCAAAAAACCGCAGAGTAAGCCACTTTAGGATAAGATCCAGGCAACCTATCACACCGTCTTTTTCACTTTCCAAGTGCTTAAAACCAAACAAGAAAAACAACAAAAATCAGACCATAAATGTTTAAGTTGTTAGGCAAACGCTTCTTAAATTTTAGTAGGTTAAAGACTGAGTTTTACATCTCCATTTTCAGTGGCAAAGTTATAGCTACACTGTCATTTATTCTATCAAGGAACAAGATAGTTCTGGAAAGACAGTATATTTCCAGACTTTTTAATTTTTTTTTTTTTTTGTAAAGCAAGATAGTTTTCATTGAAACTTATGTAGAAAGATGTGAGGAGAGAGTGAGGGAGAAGTGTGTGTTCAAGTGAGAACACAGGGTTCTCTGGGGTGGAAATAAGAAAGCAAAGAAACATCGAGACAAATGAGATTCATGCTCGAGGGAGAATACGGGCGTAAAGGGCATGTGCCTGACTTTCCTTTTTCTTCTTTTTTTTTTTTTTTTGACTTTTTGGGTCACACCTGGTGATGCTCTGGGGTTACTCCTGGCTCTACACTTGGGAATTACTCCTCGCAGTGATCGAACCCAGGTCTGCAGTGTGCAAGGCAAATGCCCTACTCTCTGTACTATTGCTCTGGCCCCTTGATGGACTTTTCTTAAGTCAAACTCTGATCATTTCACAGGGCTCAAATGTTCAAATGTCTAAGACACATGCATATTTTTCTATTATAAACTTACATCAACCATGACAGCAAGGGCTTTGTTATGATGCTGAAAGTCTGAATGAAACATCTCATCTTGTAACCATTTAGCCACACAGCTAGACATTTGAGTCTTTAGTTGCTCGATATATTCATCCCGTGGGGTGGTAAAATTCCACTTCAGAACCTGGAAAAACACAAAAGTTTTAGGAGGGACTATGTATTCAACTGAAAAGAAGTAGAATTCTCCTTAAAACAGCTGCATCATTAAATGTGATTAGGCATTTTATTTATTTTTGTGGGAGTCTGGGATAAGCTCAAGGTCTCATAAGCATATGAGAGGCATATGCTCTACCATTTAAGCCATATGAATTTCAAATGGCAAATTCTTCTTTGGTGGTGCTGAGGATCAAATCCAGTGCCTAGTAAACTTTCAGGCCCGTTTCTAGAGAAAGTTATCAGAAACTTTTCAATGCTTAAATTCCTAAATCCCTCTATCACTGAGGCATATTTCACTCCCTTATTTTTTCCTAGCTTAAGCCCCAGCAGTCCTTGGAGCCCTAAGGGACACTCCCTGAATGGTGCTGTGTCTGGAATGTGGCAGGGGTCAGGAACCCACTAGGAAAATTATTGTTAATTAAAAGAATAAGACTAAGCAAGCAAATGGCTCCTGCAAAAGAACTGGGTGGTGGTGGTGGTGATGTGTTGGAGTCACATTTTGCATGCTTTGGGCTATTCCTGGCATAGTACTTAGGTTTTTCTGCTGCTGATCAGGGGACCATGTAGCGAAGGGGATGAAATCTGGGCCTTCCGCATACAAAGCATTATCTCTAACCCTGAAGCTATATCCCTGATCCATCAAACAAATTCTTTTCTTTTCTTTTTTTTTTCTTTTTTATTAGTGAAACACCATGAGGTACAGTTGTAGATTTACAAATTTTTGTGCTTGGATCTCGGTCATACCACGATCAAATACCCATCCCTCCACCGGTGCCCATTTTCCACCACCAGGATAATATCCCTCCCCCCCATCTTCCCATCCCCCCCTGCCACTGTGGCAGGGCATTCCCCCCTGTTCTCTCTCTCCTCCTGGAGGCTGTGATCAGCCAAAGAGGCATTGAGTGGCGAACATGTTCAGTCCAGTCTACTTTCAACTTGCATCTCCCCTCCTGGGAGGATCCTCCAAACACCCTCCACTTGGTGTTCCCCTTTCTATCTGAATTGTCCTTTCCCCTAGAATACCCAGCTGGCCTCTAAGTTATGGAGTAATTCTCCTGGTGTTGCTCTCAGCTATTCTTGGGTATTAATCTCATATTTTATTATTTTATATCCCCCAGATGAATGCTATCTTTCTATGTCTATCCCTCTCTTTCTGACTCATTTCGCTTAGCATGATACTTTCCATATTGTACCACTTGTATGTAAAGTTCATGACTTCATCTTTTCTAAGAGCCACATAGTACTCCATTGTGTAGATGTACCAAAGTTTCTTTAACCAGTCATCTGTTCTTGGGCACTCAGGTCTCTTCCAGTTTCTGGCTACTGTAAAGAGTGCTGCAATGAACAAACAAGTGCAGATGTCTTTTTTTTTTTTTTTATTTTTGGGTCTACCTGGAAATCCTGGATTTTCAAGGGTTTTCTCTTGCACTCAGGAATTACTCCTGGCAGTGCTTGGGGACCATATGGGATCCTGGGAATCAAACTTGAGTCGGCTGCATGCAAGACAAAATGCCCTACCTGCTGTACTATCTATCCCTCCAACCCCCCAAAGAGATTCTTATCCTCTCCTTACCTTTAATCCCTTTTCATCTTTCATCCTTTGCTCCTTTCCATTCGGAACAACAATAAAAATAGGACCGGATTTATCTTCATCCTCCTTTAAGCTGGTTTTGTTTGGCACTTTCTTCCCTTGTGCACTCTATAAGCAAGGTTTAAAGAATACAGATTAGGTAGGCAACTACTTCTCCCTGTGAATATGATGATATTGCCAAGGAAGTTCACTATGTAAGTCAGAAACATCTTTTGACACCATATTCCACATGAGAGAAACCAAGGACATACAGAATCTTTAATGTTCTGTGTTTATACAGGTTTTCTAGAACTCTTAACAGCATTCTTAATTAACTATTGGTTATTTCCTGGACTGTCATGTGATTGGAAAAGTGGCTACTACTTTTGTTCATGATCATGGCTATTTGACCACATTAGTTTGATTTATTTTTGGATTCTGGAACACACCGGCTGTACTCAAAATTTCCTCCTGGCTCTGTACGCAGGGATTATTCTTGGTGGGTTTGGGGACCATAAGGGGTGATGCGAATAGAACGTGGGTGAGCTGCATGCAAGGCAAGTACCCTACCTGCTGTACTATTATTGTGGCCCTCCTTATTCCTTTTAAAATAATTCCTTTTTAAAATTGAAATCTTAAAGGCTGAGGCCAGAGCAATGGTACAGTGGGTGGGACATTTGCCTCACATGCAACCGACTTGGGTTCACTCCCTGGCACATTTGGTCATTTGGTCCCCTGAGCCCACAAGGAGTGATCTTTGAGCTCAGAGCCAGAAGTAAGCCCTAAGAACTGCCGGGTAAGCCAAAAACTAATAAAAACAAGCTACCCGTGACATATTCAATATACCAAACACAGTAACAAGTCTCACAATGTTACTGGGCCGACTTGAGCAAATCGATGAACAATGGGAGGACAGTGACAGTATCTGTCCTCCCGTTGTTCATCGATTTGCTCGAGCAGGTCCAGTAACGTCTCCATTCTGACAATTGTTACTGTGCTTGGCATATTGGCATATTGAATACATCACAGGTAGCTTGTCAGGCTTTGCCATGCAGGCAAGATACTCTCAGTAGCTTGCCAGGCTCTCCGAGAGGGGCAGAGGAATCGAACTCGGGTCGGCCATGTTGGCCGCTTGCAAGGCAAACACCCTTCCCGCTGTGCTATTGCTCCAGCCCAGTGACAGTGAAGTAAATGAAATCTTAAATGATATTTAAGCTTTCAGTATCGACGGCATTTTAAATGGCATTTACATATTTCTTATCACTTAGTTCAGAAAGCTTTTTTGTTTTCATATATAAAAGTATCTATCATAATACTGTAAAACTGAGGGTCTTTTAGGCCCATTTCTAGAGAAAGTTATCAGAAACTTTTCAATGCTTAAATTCCTAAAGTGGAATTTTTTTTGGCGGGGTGGCTGGGACAAACCCAGCAGTGCTCAGAGCTTATTCTTGGTGGTGCTTGGGGGGCAAGTGTCTGGGATCAAACCAAGATTAGCTGCAAACATGCTAAGGGCCTTAACTCCTGTTATATCTATCTGATCAAAAAAAAAAAGTTTGAAAAACGAATACATTTTTCTGCCACTCAATGCCTCTTTTGCAAATTACAACACCCAAGAGGAGAGAGAGAACAAAAGGGAATGACCTGCCACAGAGGCAGGGTGGGCAGGAGGGGATGGGGGTGGGAGGGATACTGGGATCCGTGGTGGTGGGAAATGGGCACTGGTGGAAGGATGGGTATTTGATCATTGTATAACTGAAACCCAAGCACAAAAATTTGTAACTCTATAACTGTACCTCATGGTGTCTCACTAATCAAAATTAAAAAAAAAATTAATCGATTACATTTTATTCCTGTTATTATTACCTTTGGTAACAAAAGAAAGGCGGGGAATATCTTCATGCATATTGATCAAAAACGTATTTGTGTATAAAGGTAAAAGGTAAAGGCCCTCCCGTTGATCGTCGATTTGCTCGAGCGGGCCCAGTAACATCTCCATTGGAGACTTTGTTGTTACTGTGTCTGGCATATCCAATACTCTCGGTAGCTTGCCGGGCTCTCCGAGAGGGGAGGAGGAATCGAACTCGGGTCGGCCATGTTGGCCGCTTGTAAGGCGAACGCCCTACCGCTGTGCTATTGCTCCAGCCCATTTGTGTATACTGATCAAAAAATAAAAGTTTGTCATGTCCTCAAGGGTACTCTACAGTGTTTAATTCAACCTTTAATAATTTTGCAAAGAAGGGTATGTGTGTATTTTAATATAGCCTGACCTGATTTATATGTTTTTAGCTTTAGTATTTAACATTTTGTAACAAATAAACATTTTTTAAAACAAAAAAATAAATAAAAGTTTGTGCATAATGGCCAAAAAATAAAGGAAGGACTTTGTAACATAAACCTCCAAAAAAAAAAAAAGAAAAAAGTAATACATTTCTGGGAGAAATTATTTGTCTACCCTTCATCTGATAAAGAATTAACATAGGACATATATAAAACACTGACAGAACTTTACAGGAAGACATCAAGCCTATCAAATAACTGGGAGAAGAGATGAACAAAAAATTCCTCAAAGAAGAAATACAGATGAAATACATATGAAAATATGCTCAGCATCATTATCATCAGGAAAATGCAAATAAAAACAAGGAGATATCATATCACACCACGGAGACTGATCATCAAAAAGAACAGTAACCAGTGTTGGTGTGTATGTAGGGACCCTCATTCACTGGCTGGTGGGAACGATGATTGGTTCAGCGGTTTTGGAAGACAATATGGACATTCTTCAAAGAACTAGAAATTGAGCTTCTCTATGACCCAGCAATTCCACTCCTGGGACTACATTCCACTGACTCAAAAATACAATACAGAAAAGACATCTCCACTCCTATGATCATTGCAGCACTATTCATATAGCCAAAATTTGGAAACAACCCAAGTGCCCAAGAACAGATGACTGGATAAAGAAGCTATGGTACCTGTAAACAGTGGAATAATACTCAGCAGTAAGATGAAGTTATGCAATTTGCTGCTACTGGATGGATCAGGAGAGTATCATGTTGAGTAAAATGAGTCAGAGGGACAGACACAGAATGATCTCACTCATGTGCAAGATATAAAGAAACACAGTAGGGGAATAACTAGTGTACAACAGCAGTAGAAATGAAGAGCAGGAGAACTCATCCTTAGAAGAAACCCTGCCACTGTAGGGAAAGGGAGCATAGGTCAGGGAAGGGACCATAGACTATGGCAATGATAGAGGGAAGTGGTAGCTCTGGACAGACTAAGGTCTGGGTGCTGAAAGGAGGTAAAGTGATATACATGATACCCGATCAGTAACAGTACTGTATATCATTGTGCCTAGTAAAGGAAAGAAAAAGTGCCTGTCATAGAGCACAGAGGCAGGCAGGTAACTGTGGACACTGGTGGAGGGAAGGGGATACTGGTGATGGGATTGGTACTGGAACATTTTATTTATGTATTGGATATTGGAACATTTTTTTCTGTCTCTTTTTATTTTAATGAATCATCGTGAGATACATTTATAGACTTATAGACATTCATGATTGTGTCTCAGTCAAACAATGTTATTGAAACATTTTATACCTAAAACTTAATCATAAATAACTTTTGTAATTAAAAAAAAATCCAATTCAACTATTTCTAGTAGACCAGAATTTCTAATGAAAATATTGAAGTTATTCATTAAAAACAGGTATAAGCTCATTTATGTGATACTGCTTTGTAAGGTGTAGAAGACTAAAAGTATGACATAAGAATGCAATCAAAAATATTTCACAACACTTGTGATCAAAATACTAAAACTATAGGGCCAGAGTGACAGTATAGTAGGTAGGGTGATTGCCTTGATGTGGCTTAACCAGGTTTGATGCCTGGCATTCCATATAGTCCCCTGAGCACTGTAGTGTGTGGCCCCAAAACCAAAGGCCTGAGAGATGGTACAGTGGGTAGGCCGCTTGCCTTGCATTCAGCCACCTGGCTTTGATCTCTGGTACTCCATATGATCTTTTGAGCCCCCACCAGGAGTGATCCCTGAGTGCTGAGCAAGGAGTAAGTCCTGACCACTGACAGGTGCAGACCAAAAATGAAAAATTGGGGATTAGGACAGGGTGGTGCTCAGGAAAATAATAGTTTTACTGGATAATTTAGAAGATTCCCCCCCCCCCCCAACCCGTTTCTTGGCCACACTTGGCTATGTTCAGGGTCTCCTCCTGACAGGCTCAGGGAATCATATGGATGCCAGGGACTGAATCAAAGGTCAGTAGGCTATGTGTAGTACTGCTTCAGACCCTAGAAGATAATTTTTTATTTAAATTAGCTCACTGAATTAAAGTAACCACTCATAGGGAAGGAAACAAATATATTTTATCATTTATTACTTGTAGTGGGCTGGAGCGATAGCACAGCGGTTAGGGTGTTTGCCTTGCACACAACTGGCCCGGCCGAGCCGGGTTCGATTCCTTCGTCCCTCTCGGAGAGCCTGGCAAGTTACCGAGAGTATCTCGCCTGCACGGCAAAGCCTGGCAAGCTACCCGTGACGTATTCAATATGCCAAACACAGTATCAACAAGTCTCAAGATGGAGATGTTACTGGGCCCGCTCGAGCAAATGGATGAATAACGGGAGGACCATGATGGTGATTACTTGTAGTTACTCTAAGATTTTATTTCCTAGTTACTAATGCAGATGTACAATTTTCCACAATTTTCCTTTTGTTAGTATCAAATAATCAATTCACTGAACATTATGAAGCTCTCAGGGCCTACTCTTGGCTCTGCACTCAAGGATCACTCCTGGTGGAACTTGGAAGACCACAAAGGATGCTGGGGATCAAACCCAGGTCAGATGCATGTAAGGCAAGATCCCCCCAGGCAAGCCACATGCAAGGTAAGAACTCTGCCCTCTCTACTATCTCTCCTGCTCCGAAGCTCTAATTCTTGATACAGAAAAAGATGACAATCTGCAGTTACTAAAATACTTAAATAACCTGGGGACATTTAATATTGAGCATTTAAACAAACACATTTCTTAAAATTGTCCAACTCCTTTGGAGGTTAAGAGGATTGGAGCTGGAGAGATAGCACAGCGGGTAGGGCGTTTGCCTTGCACGCGGCCGACCTGGGTTCGATTCCCAGCATCCCATATGGTCCCCTGAGCACCGCCAGGAGTAGCTCTTGAGTGCGGAGCCAGGAGTAACCCCTGTGCATTGCCAGGTGTGACACAAAAAGAAAAAAAAAAAGGGGGATTGATGATGCATCAAAATAAACTCTTTTGTACATCAACAAGAAGGTACTTTTCCTTATAGATGAAACAGACCACCTTCTAGCATGAAGACCTGAGCCGTGTTTGAATGAAGTTGACCATCTTTCTTTTCTCAAATCAAACACAACTTATGTGACTTTTTCCCCCACAGAGCTGATGATCTCTTTCTTTCTTCACTACTACAAACCTTTCTCTTCCACACAGATCTGCAGGATAGAAACTACTACTACAGTTCTTCTTGAGAACAGGTATCTGTTTTTGAACCTTGTTAAAAACTAGTCACAGAAACTAAATAATTTGCAATATTAAAAGCAGTAACATTCCTTAGAATATCTTTTCCATACTCAGTGTATAAATATGGCTAAAGACAATTCTACATCTAATATAGAGAGTTAACACACCTTTGCTTTAGAGGAAACTCCTAGAGCTTTGACTTTTTTCGGATCAGGCTTGGGCTCTACAGTGCTGGAAACAGAATCTTCAACAGGTGCTTTGAGGGAAAAAAAAACATTCAATATAAATACAAACTAATAACACTTTATTCTTATTCTTGGAGTTTTCAGTTAATCATTTTCCAAATCTTTTTTCTCTCCCAATTTCCATTCAAAGCATAATATCAAACAACAGAAAATAATCGTGGAAACCTTTGAAAATAGGAGCCGGGGACTAGGACAGAGTGCATGCTCTGCAAGGGAGACTTGTGCTTGACCTCTGGAATCACCTGGCTTCCTAAACACTGCCGATTAAACTCTGGATCTCTAGATTACTTCAATGTGCTACTCTAAAACTCCTCTTTTTTTAAAAAAAAAAAAACCACAGAAGCCAAATTACTCATCTTTGTAACCTCACTCAACATAGTTCTTGTCAAAAAATAGGTACCTGACAAATGTTTGTCAAAGAATGGTATGGAGAAAGGGAGGGAGGTTTTGAATCTAAGCTGTGAGGAAGTATGATAAAAAAAAAAGTGAATTTAGATATATCTTTTGAGTTCTTAGCCTATTTATATCCTTACCCTCGAATACTTTCAGAAAAGAGTTACCTGAGGCGGGCTGGAATTTGGATGAGGCTGACCCTCCCACGGGTTTGGAAGTTGCTTTAGCAGGTGCAGCAGGCTTGGCTGGCATGTTAGCTTTGGCTTTCTCTAGCATGGCCAATACCTGATCTTTAGATGTTGGCTAAGGAGACAATATACCAAAAGTAAGAGGCCACATAAATGATAGACTCAGACTAAGCCATATATCGTTACTATTAAACTAATCCTTAAACTCCTAGTGACACATTATGAAGTCACGCTAAATTAGCTACCATTCTAGAAGGTACAGTTTTTCACCTCTTTATAGTCTGAAAGTTCTTTAGAAGTTCTACACTGCTGAATATTTTACTTTTGCTCTTACTGGAATTACCAAGTAGAATCTTACAGGAGACAATATGATTTCTGATATTACATGAATTTACATTCAGTAATTGTCTAATGATTTTTAAAAGCAACAGTAGCAATAACAAGGGGTAATACCTTGAGCTTCCCAGTAGCCTTGGCCATTTTCTCATATCCTAAATGCATCATGAAGAATGGCAAGGCATCTTGGGCCTTTTTCCGTACATCTCCATTGCGATCCTCCAGGCAGGAGTAGAGATGAGGAACACAAAGGATCAGGTCTGTGGGGGTGGAACGAAGAGTCGGTAGTTTTTCAGCCAGCCAGCCCAGAAGCTGCCAAAACAAAAAAAAAATTAAGACTAGTTATCCAAATAAGCCTCAAGTTAATGATTCCATCAGTATTAAACACTAATTTTCCAATCTGAAATCAGTAATTTTCATAGTTTGAAAGAGTTGTGCTACACCACAACGAAAATGTGTGAGCAATGTATGTGCAACCCCAAGTTATCACATCACAGAAGAAACAAAAGGGAAAAACAACAGGAGGACAGTGCTTGCCAAGAGTAATTAATTCCTCAGTGCAGAGCCCAGAGTAGTCCCTGAGCACTGCTGGCTATGACCCATAGAGCCAAAAAACAAAACAAAACAAAAACACACACACACACAAAAACCAATGCTAGTTATTGTATTTGCAATGCTCATAGTCATCTTGAAGAATTCTTTAGGGTTTTATTTGAGTATTAAATTAGAAAGTTTTTCTTCGGGGGGAAGAGAGGTGTCTGGGGTCACACCTGGCAGCGCGCAGGGCTTACTCCTTGCTCTTTGCTTAGGGGACCATATGTGGTACTAGGGAGCAAACCTGGGTTGACCATATGCAACTATCTATCTAGCTCTAGGAAGCTTTAATAGTATTAAAACTTTTCTTACTTTTATTGAGGTAACATAGTTTTTACATCATCATGTTTCAAGAGTGCTTTTCCAGACTTCTCTCAAAAGTAATGTCATATGCCAATCGCCAAAATGCACAATGCTGCTTTAACTCTGTACCCTCTCTACTCTTTCCTACTGGCAATCTCAGTTCTTCATTCTGAACTCAAGCATTGTTTCTTCTTCTTTTTGTTTTTAGGTATATGGGCCATACTTGGCAATGCTCAGGGTTTATTCCTCTGTGGCCAGGAATTATTCTTGGTGAGCTCGGGGGAACATCCGGGGTGCTGCACGCTGAATCCCAGTTTGCCACGTGCAAGGCAAGCGTTCTATTCACTGTAATCTCTTTCTAGCTCCCTAGCATTGCCTCTGTCTGTTCCCTTGCTTTGCTTCTTTATACATAATGTCTGAATGAGACCTAGAATACATCTTTCTCTTGTTCCCTTAGTATTACAGCTCTCACCCATCTATGTTATTGCAAACAGCAAGATTTCATCTTTTCTTTATAGCTGGATATCATTCCATTGTGCATGTATACCATATCTTTATCTAGTCCTATGTCATTAAATGAGTTGTTTCTTGGCAACTGTCAATAGCACTACAATGAACATAGGCACACAGAGTGTGTACATAAGAAAATACAAAAGCTTTTCAACTAGTGTTTATATACTCTTCTGACACCTAGATGACAGTGAAAGTCTACTTTTATTTTTCCCCCCTTTCTCTTGGAAAAACTTTTAAAAGTTTGAAAAATCTTTTAAAAGCATATTTTTATTTTTGGTTTTCTAGGCTACATACGGTGATGCTCAGGGGTCACTTCTGGGGTTTATGCTGGGTTAGGCATCAAACCTTTGTATGCAAAACATGTGCTCATCCCATTGGGCTATCTTTCCAGCCCTTTGTTGTCGTCGTTATTTTAAATACTGATTTTCAAAGAGGCTGGACCACTTTAAATTACCATCAACATGAAGGCTCATTTTACTCCATAACCTTGCCAGGTCATTTAGCCAGGTTGATCTTTGTGACATAGACCATCTTCAGAGGTATGAGATGGTGTCTCACTGTGTGTGATTTTCCTTGGTAAGACATAATGAGCAGCTTTCTCACATGCCTAATGGTCATCTATAATTCTGTGGAAAAGTATATATTCTGATCTCCTGTCAATTACTGATGGGCTGCCTTTTTTTTTAAAGAAGATTTTTATTAGTGAAACACCATGAGGTACAGTTGTAGACTTACAAATTTTTGTGCTTGGGTTTCAGTGATACAATGATTGAATACCCATCCCTCCACCAGTGCGCATTCTTCACCACCACTGATCCCAGTATCCCTCCCCCCACCCCACCCCCGGCCTGTTTTTGTTTTTAATGTTGTTGAGTTTTATAGTTCTTTATACACCTGAGATATTGGAGCTTCATTGTGCAAATATTTTCTCCTGTTCTGTATGACATTTTTATGCCTTAATGACAGTTCATTAACTCTTTAAAATTTTTGGTATGATGCGTTCTTCGCTTTTTGTTTTGGACTACATCAGGCAGCACTCACAGGCTACTTCTGGCTCATCATGTAGTGCCAGAACTGAATCTGCATTGAGTCAGGCCTCCTTCTGGCAAGGCATGTGTTTCAGCCTGCTGAATTATCTCTCCAAACGTTTATTTTTGGTTGTTTCCTTCGTTGTTGGAGCTGGTACCTCAAAGAGATCACTGAAGCCAATATTATGTTTGCCTTTGTCTTCCTCTATGCATTTTATGTGTTTTGGGTATTACATCCAAAGTCATTGTTTTGAACTAATTTTGTGTATGCTCTAAAAGTTTCATTCTTTTAGAAGTGTATGCTCAGTTAGCCTAGCATCATTTATTGCAGAGACTTTCTATTCTCTACTACTCTTGGATCCTTTGAGCCTGGCAAACTACTGAGAGTATCTCGCCCGCACGGCAAAGCCTGGCAAGCTACCGTGACGTATCCAATATGCCAAACATAGTAGCAACAAGTCTCAAAATGGAGATGTTACTGGGCCTAACGGGAGGACAGTGTTTTTAAATAGATTTTATTTATTTTTTTGGCTTTGGGGGTTACACCTGCTCAGGAGTCACTCCTGGCTCTGCACTCAGGAATCACTGTCACTGTCCTCCCGTTGTTCATCAATTTGCTCAAGCGGGCCCAGTAATGTCTCCATTGTGAGACTTCTTGTTACTGTGTTTGGCACATCGAATACGCCACGGGAAGCTTGCCAGGCTTTGCCGTGCGGACGAGATACTCTTGGTAGCTTGCTGGGCTCTCTGAGAGGGGCGGAGGAATTGAACTTGGGTCGGCCATGTTGGCTGCGTGCAAGGCAAACGCCCTACCGCTGTGCTATCGCTCCAGCCCATGAACATGGTACTTCTCATTTAGTTAGGTCCTCATCAATTTTTTAATCCAGCACTTTGTATATTTTGCCTTTTTTTTTTTTAACAGGTTTACACCTGGCCATATTTGGGAGGCTTGTGGTGCTGAGGATTGAACCCAGGATTGCTAGGCATATGCAATAGCACTTGAGTAATCTCCCTGGTACCCTCTTTTTTGTATAAGTATATATCCAAAAGTTAAATTTTTCTCTGAAGAGACTGTTAATGGTTTTATATTTCTGAGTTTTTTTGCTTTTGTGGACTGTAACTGGCAGTACATATGGGGCTACTCCAGCTTGGTTCTCAGGAGAATGTAATGTGCTGGGTAAAAAGGTAAAGGTAAAGAAAGGCCCTCCCGTTGTTCATCGATTTGCTCGAGCAGGCCCAGTAACGTCTCCATTGGAGACTTTGTTGTTACTGTGTCTGGCATATCGAATACGTCACGGGGAGCTTGCCAGGCTCTGCCGTGCGGGCGAGATACTCTCGGTAGCTTGCCGGGCTCTCCGAGAGGGGCGGAGGAATCGAACTCGGGTCGGCCATGTTGGCTGCGTGCAAGGCAAATGCCCTACCACTGTGCTATCGCTCCAGCCCCAACGTGCTGGGTAATGAACTCAAATATCCTACACATAAAGCATATAATCCACTGAACTATCTCTCTGGCCCTTGGTATTATGTTTTTAATTTGGGTGTTTGTATGTATGTGCAATGTATTATAAAGAAACACAATTGTAAACTGATTGTGTATACTGCACTCTTACTTGAACTCAATTATTCACGGCGAGTCCAATCTTTTCTTTTTGCCTTTTGGATCACAACTGGTGATGCTCAGGGATTACTCCTGGCTCTGCACTCAGGAATCACTCCTGGCAATGCTTGGGGGACCATATGAGATGCTGGGGATTGAACCTGGATCAGCCGCATGCAAGGCAAACGTCTTATCCGTTGTACTATAACTCTGGCCTGGCCAGTCCAATCTTATTGTCAGGTTATCAGCAACTGGGGACAGATTTATATTTCCCCAGTCTACATGCCTTACAATTCTTTTTCTTGTCTTATATTAGTGACCAGAACTATCACAGTAAACTGAATAGCTGTAAAAGTGGATATTCTTGTCTTATTTCCAATTTTAAGAGTAACAAAACATTGAGACTTTCACCATTAAGGATATTATTGCTAAAGTGTTCTTTTTGCTCTCATCAGGCAGTTCCAAGTTTCTATGAAGATAAATGACTATTTGTAGTACTAACCTCTTGCCTCAAGAAAGGATTTTCCCTCTTTAGCTCTTCAGAAAGATCCTCTCCCTCCAGCCACTCCTTCATGCCAGTCTGTTCTGCCCAAGCATTCACCGTTGCTAGGGCAGCAGCTCGAACATTGTTCTGAATGGAGGAGAAAATCGGTAAAGAAAATGTCAACTATAAAAGCTTATTACTTCTTGGACTTCTAAAGTTTCACATGAACTGATTTAGAATCATTTTTCCTAAAACAGAACCAAATTCTATGGTTACACTGAAACTCTAAAATAAAGCAGAAACAAAACTTCACGTTATAAAAGTCCTGAGCTCAGTTAATTAGGACAAACGGTGACCCAGGCATAAGGCATAAACTATCACATAAGGTGAATAATGATTACATTTTGTTCCAGACATTTCAATGGGCTCATATCCATGGTTATCTGATAGAGAACGCAAATTTACATACATGTTAAAGAAATCATAACAGATGAAAAAAATGACAATATGAGCAAATACTTTAATTTATATTCACAGAACGAGAAGCACTTATTGACACATCAATATTAAAATAGTCCAATTTCTTAAGATAAATGTATTATTTGTAACGTTAAGTAACACTAATCATAGGACTCTATAGATATCTTACTCAAGTAACAAAAGATCCTGCAGTTCCTTGATCTTATAATTAGGATGGGGGGAAAAGCAGAAAATATTTATTCACTGTTAGCAATGAAATCACAATCATATGAGCAATCATTTAATGAATGAGTACTATACGAGATAAGCAAAGGTACCTTGAATCTTATTTAATTTTATGAGAATTACAAACTTCACAGATAAATTATTTAGATTCAGTTTATCTAAAGACCATAAAGGTAGTATGTGATTATTTATGGTCACCTCATATTGTCTGGCCATGCTCCAGGACGCTTTCCAGACCGCACAGCCACGCGACACATTATAAGATACTTAATATCCATCTTGCAAAATTGCCATACCATAATTTATAGGGTTCAACTATGGTTTGAACCATGGGAACACCTACAAGGGCGATTAGAGGCCGGCCCCAAAGCCTCTATCCCTCTCCGAGAGCCTGGCAAGCTACCAAGAGAATTCTGCTCGCATGGCAGAGCCTCGCAAGCTATTCGTTGTGTATTCGATATGCCAAAACCAGTAATTAAAATGGGTATCATTCCCCTGACCCTGAAGGCGTCACCAATATGGCAGCACTGAGAAGAATGAGAAAGGAGAGGCTGATAAAATCTCATACTAAGATTAAAAAAAATAATAATAGTTCACTATTTGCCTTTCTAATATTTTCATTTCTATAAAAATGCTTACATGTACATTAGAAAAGATAACTTATTTTCAGCCCAAGCATGTGACTGACCTACTCCAGAATGAAGTTGTGGTGAAGAGTCAGATTTACCTTGCTGTCTCCAAGGACAGTGATGATAGGGATGCCTAAATTCTTCACATGTTGCTTGATGTTTGGCCCCATGGCCACTGCCAGCTGTTGGAGTATATTCAAAGTCTGCTGCACCTGAATGGAAAGGGCAGACACTTTGTTATATCTATACGTAAGCTGAGTTTAGTGTTCTTCAAGATCATTATTATCTGCAGTCAAGTTTGTTGTATATACAGTCAATACAGTAGGTTTCTGGCCAAGTTAAGACACAGAATCAGTTTGCTTGAAAGCTATTCTAATAGATGCCTATGAACATTATTAAGTGGTGCCTCTTATCTTTTTGTTTTGGGGCCACACCTCGCACTGCTCAGGCATTACTCTGTGCTTAGGGATCACTCCTGGTGAGTTCAGGGCACTATAATGGGATGCTGGGGATTAAACCAATATTGACAGTCTACAAGAAAATGCCCTTACCCTCTGTGCTCACTCTTGAATCCCAGCAATTTTCTTGAAGCTACCGAGAGTATCTCGCCCGCATGGCAAAGCCTGGCAAGCTACCCGTGACGTATTCATTCTGCCAAACACAGTAACAAGTCTCATGATGGAGACGTTACTGGGCCCGCTCGAGGAAATCGATGAACAACTGGAGGACAGTACTACCGTGCTACCATGATTGAATACAGGACACCACATATGCAAAGCATAAGTTTACTAGTACACTATAGTCCAGTCCATCACTCCTTTTTTCTTTGTATTATTTTTCACTACACCTTTTATAATGAGTTCACAAAATAAGAGTACTAGTTTTTATTCAAATTTTAGATCAGACAGCATACTGCTTCATAGTTTTATGTTTGAACTTAGTTTAAAAAGTCCTGACATAAAAATCCGAATTTAGGGAATGGATCAGTGGTTAAAAGAACATTTGCTTTATAAGCATAATGTGTGCTGAACACAGTCCCATCAGCTCTTGTTAACTGGGACCACTGTGCAACTGAATGTATGATCAAAGCACACAATCTCCAGTGCACAGCCAGGTGTGCTCAAACACAGAGACAGGGAGTGTAAATCTTGGAGAAGCACAACAGTAAATGAGTGTGACCATGGATGAGTATGTGTGCAAGCACAACTAATGTGTGACCTCCAGGGCTGGAGCAATAGTACAGCAGGTAAGGTGTTTGCCTTGCATGTGGCGGACCTGGGTTCAATCCCCGACATCTCATATGGCTCCCCAAGTACCACTAGTTGTGATTCCTGAGCACAGAGCCAGGAGTTACCCCTGAGCATTTCAGGATCTGGTCCAGAAACAAAAATGAAAAACAAAACAAAAAAAAACAAAGTGTGTTCCCCTTGGAATCACATGGGGTCCCCAGCACCACTAGCGGTAACCCCTTGACATAGGGCCAGGAATAAGCCTTGAGCACGGCTGGTATTTACCTCCCTCATCAAATCCCAAATAAAAAGCCAATAAAATTGTGTGCCATGGCAAGCACCACGATTAAGAAATCAGGACTGTGTGATCTCTGGTGATAACAAGAACAACAACAAAAAATACCCAGATTTACAAAATCAGGCATGTGTTATTACAAACATGTATATATTTAAGTAAAGCAAATATTTGTATCAGGAAGTATGAGAGCACAGAAAGTCCCATAAAGAAAAGAGAAATATTATTACACCCCAAACTGTTATGTAGACAACTCTACATCATAGATAGAGTGATGGAGTGCCACAAACAGTCTTAAATAAAGAATATTTAAAATTACATTACTGCAAAAACAGCAAATCTGAGTCATGAAAATTTGATTACTACATCTGTTATGTATCACGATGCACACAGGAAATTAAAGAAAGCTATTTCTAGTTCAAAGCAGAAAAAGTAACAACCTCATTTTTTTCCTGGTAAAGGTTACACTGGGAAGTACACTCTTAAACGAGAGAAGGGGGAAGGAAAATCAACAGGCATACACTCTACCTACCAAGATTTTATTTGAATCGTTGAGTCGACCCTTTAAGGCAGATGGAAGTTCTCCTATATTTGGTTGGATAAACTTTGCTTCATTGATAATAGCTGCCACTTCATCAAGGCCTTCTTTCCTGATCTTCCAATTCTTGTCTCCAATCTTAGACACCAACTCTGAAGTGATTTTATCACTGAAAAAATACAAAGACAGAACCCTTAATTCCAGACTTCTAAATTATTACCCTTTGACTGAGAAAAAGAAGCTTCCCAAAAAAGTCAGTACAATGAATCAAATAAGTCATTTCACTTTGAAACTGACCTTATTTCTGTTCTTGGCAGAAGATCAACAACATCATTGCCCCCATCATCTGGTTCTTCTCCTTCTTCTCCTTCATCTGTTCCACTTGTGCTGTGCTTGGAAATCCCTCTAGTTGGAGCAGGTGGGCTCTGTCCCTGCATCTATACACAAGCAAATGAGTGAGGCTAGTAAACATGTTAAAGAGATCAAATTAAAAAAAAAAGTCTATTAAACTTTCATATTCTTTTATAATTTAAAATATTTACACAATCAGTATTTCAGTTTTTCAGGCTCCAATTTTAAACTACATGGCAAAAAAAAAAATCATTTTTGAGTTTTGATCACACCTGGTGGGTGCTCAGGAACTGTTCCTGCATCGCAATACTTGCTGGGAACTGAACCCAGGGCAGCAGCATACAAGGAATGCATCCTAGCCACTGAGCCAAATCTTTTTAATTTTTTCTGTTTTTGGGCACACACCCCATGGTGCTCATGTGACCATATGGCATGCCAGAGATGAACCTGGGGCAGCTGCATAAAAGATAAATGCACTACATGCAGAATTATCACTTTAGCCCCTTGAGTCATCTCTTTAATATTTTTTGTTGTCCCTGTTTTGGAACAACATTGACTAGTATTCCTAATTCCTAGCTTTGTGCTCAGGGATCACTTCTGGTGGGTTCCTGGGGAATACCAGGCGGTGTGCCAGGTATCAAAACCAGGGTGACTTAAACGCAAGGCAAGTGCCCTGATCCCTGTACATTGCTCTGGCTAGCAAGGTCTTTTTTGTTTGTTTCTGGCCCACTACCGGCGGTGCTCAGGGCTTATTCCTGGCTTGGCTCTTAGGGAATCACACTCGGAGGGCTCCGGGGACCATATGGATGCTGGGATCAAACATACGGTGGGTGTGTGCAAGGCAAGTGCCTGATTTGCTGCATTATCACTCTGCCCACCCCCCACAAGTATTTATATACAAACAGAACAGGTATTTTTATACAAACATTAGACTTTGTCTTCTAATAAAAAATCATTTTTTGAGTCAAAAATAGTTCTTTGACTACTCTACTCAAGAAAATACAGAAGTATGTCAACAAATAGCAATTTTAACTGGAAAATTTATTCAAGGGCAGTAAAGTTTAAATTTTTTTTTTTTAAAGTTTAAATTTTTAAGTGTTATATTTGATCTATTCTGTTTGGTCTGTGTTTTGCGGGGACCACACCTGGCAGACTGCAGGTGTTACTGCAACTTAAGTGCTCAAAGATCATTTCTGGTATTGTCTGTGAGATCATTTAGTGCCAAGCATTGAACCCAGGCTTTCTATACACAAAGCATGTGCTCTAGCCCACTGAACTATTAATCTTAATATCCTTTTAAAATAGGTAATACTAAAAAAAAATAGGCAATACTTTAAAAATGTTTAAAAGTTGAAAGGTTCAAAGATAAAATTTATTTTACCCTATAGCTATTGTGTTATCTTCCTCAGAGACAAAGTAGTAATTTCCTTATGAAGTCTTCCTGATACTTGATGCATAAGAAGCAAATACACACACACACACACACACACACACACACACACACACACACTACACAATGATTCCAAAGGGTTTAATCTAATATGCTTAACCTAATACAAACATTCTTGGGGCTGGAGTGATAGCACAATGGGTAGGGTGTTTGCCTTGCACGTGGCCGACCCAGGTTCGATATCCAGCATCCCATATGGTCCCCTGAGCACTGCCAGGGGTAATTCCTGAGTGCAGAGCCAGGAGTGACCTCTGTGCATTGCCAGGTGTGGCCCAAAAAGCAAAAAAACAAAACAAAAACAAAAACAAAAACAATAAAAAACCAAAAAATAAAACCAAACCATTCTTGTGTTCATCAATGTGGAACACTTACCTTTTCAAATTCTGCATCTATCTGGGATAGGAGAGCAGGCTTCTCATCCTCAAAGAACATTCGCAATGATGGACCAACATACAGATACATCACACCAAGCAGGGTGATAGCTGAAGTCCTCACAGCCTGTTACACAGAACAAAAAGAACTTTCCAAATCAGAACAAAACCATAAAAACAGTGGTACTATTCCTATAGACACTGATTATACTCACAGGGTTTGTTGCAGCAAGTGCTGTTTTAACATTGCTAATAAAAGCTTTCACATTCAATCTAGAAAAAAAAAGGAATTAAAAAGAAATAAATACCTTGAAGCATTCAAGAAGAGAATATTATAAAGCCAGACTAGGATATATCTTCACAGTAGACTGAATAATATATTGGACCTAAGAAAGAAGAGTCAAATTGGGCCCGGAGAGATAGTACAGCAGGTAGGGAGTTTGCCTTGCATGTGGGTGATCTGGATTCAATCCCTGGCACCTCATATGGTCCCCTAAGCCACCAGGAATGATTCCCACTTGAGGGCAGAACCAGGAGCAATGTCCCCTCAACCCCTGGGGGTGAGGGCATGGAAAGGTGAAGGAAGAAGACAGTTAAGCTTGTTCTCAGCATCTAGAATGATGTGGCTCTTTATTAAGGCAGGAGATTGTAGGAGATTAGGTTTCACTGAGTTTGATTTTGAGAATTGTAGGACATTTACTAGCATTCAAATAGAAATATCACAAAGATATATATCAATAATATATATCACATACATAATACTATATCAATATATGTCAACATGGAATTTAGGAGTAAGGCCAATACTTAAATTGAGAAATATTAGCACACAAAAATACTTTAAGTCTACTTTATTTATTTACTTTTGGTTTTGGGACAGTGTTCTTCACGGTGCTCTCGGGATCAACAGTGAACCCAGCCTTTAGCATGCAAAGCATAAACACTATTTCTCTGAGCTATCTCTTCAGCCTCTTAAGGACGATTTTAAGTGAATGTAGAAAGAAAACAGATGTGACCTAGGAACATATCCAAAGTGGGTAACTTCCAGCAATATGACACTGCTTTGATTCAAGATCCTGGGGGCCTACTCCAGTGCTCAGGATGCCATTGGGACTATATCTGGAAGTGCTTGGGAGGCCTTGTGGAGGTCGGGAGAGAACCCAAGACATGTTTATGAAAGTCATATGCTCCAGAACTTTGCAATGATCTCCACAGACCTATTTATATTTTGTTTTTTTTGGTCTGTGTTTTGCGGGGACCACACCTGGCAGACTGCAGGTGTTACTGCAACTTAAGTGCTCAAAGATCATTTCTGGTATTGTCTGTGAGATCATTTAGTGCCAAGCATTGAACCCAGGCTTTCTATACACAAAGTGCTCACTGGTGATTTCTGGTGATGCTGAAATTCAGGGGACCATGTGAAGTATGGGATATCAAACTTGGGTCATCTGCATGCAAAGTCAAGCACCTCACCCACTGAGTGTATGTGGAAAGCCTGGGGCTTGATGCCTGACACCTTTAGGTGTGCTTCCCACGCCCCAATAAAACTACAATTAAGAATATCTTCCACTAAGGAGGACATCAGAAATACTGACATAATATAGTATGTGTGCTTGAATAAATCCCAAAATACTTATTTTCCAGAGCAGCTATTCTTCTTATTTTGTAGAATACAGAATATCCATTTATAAGAGATATATTGTTCAAAAGTAGAATGTCACAAAGAGGCCATGTAGTATAGTTGGTTTTAGTATTTGCAATTTTTCTTTTTTTTTTCTTTTTGGGTCACACCTGGCGATGCACAGGGGTTACTTCTGGCTCATGTACTCAGGAATTACTTCTGGCGGTGCTTGGGGGACCATATGCTGGGGATCGAACCCAGGTCAGTTGCGCGCAAGGCAAACGCCCTACTCGCTGTGCTATCGCTCCAGCGATAGTATTTGTGCTTTGAACCAGAATTCTTTTTCAGTGGTGAAGGGAAGCAGGGAGGACACATCCAGCAATACTCAGAACTGACCAGGGAGGGCCTTTGTGCTACACTCAGGGATCACTCCTGGCAGTACTCAGAGGACGATACCAGGTACAGGGAATTGAACCAGGGTGAGACACATCCAAGGCAAGCACATTACCCACTATACTATCATTCTGGCCCCTGAAGCAAAATTCTTGAAGTGAAAGTTTTGTTACTTCCTAGATACAACCTGAGCATATTAAATCAGCTGTGTTCCAGTTTTCTCATCTATAAACATAATAATATATCACATGTTTTGGTAGAGATTAAATCAAATGAGTTATTAGCATTGAATAGGCTTTGCTGTAGCACCTCTGGAAGTCAATTCACCATATGCAACATAGATTGCCAAACAAATGTCACTGTTACTGTCCTACTGTTGTTCATAGATTTGCTCAAGCGGGCCCAGTAACGTCTCCATTGTGACAATTGCTACTGTGCTTTGGCATATCAAATACGTCACGGGTAGTTTGCCAGGCTTTGCTGTGTGGGCAAAATATTCTCGGTAGCTTGCCGGGCTCTCCGAGAGGGGTGGAGGAATCGAACCTGGGTTGGCTGGGTCAGGCGCAAACAAATGTAATGATATATTATTATTGCCAAATATAAAATAGTCTATATGGACCACAGCGAGGGGCCGGAGTGACGATACAGCAAGTAGGGTTCAATCCCTGGAATTCCATATGCTCTAAAGCTCATCACAAGTGACCTTTGAGTGCAGAGCCGGGAGTAGGCCTTGAGCACTGCTGGGTGTGGCCCAAAACCAAAAATAAACAAAAAAAGAATATTAAGTGCTTGAAACTGACTTTATAACCAGATGGTTTATATTTGTTTCTTAACCAAACCTGCAGTATTGAGACACCATGTGGTTGCTGGGGACTCTCCACAGGCAAAAATACACTCTTGCCCTGAGCCATCTCCTCAGTCTTATAACTAGTATTGTGGACATAAAAATGTCCACATATGAAGGTGCACAAGTCAATATTAAGTTTGGATAATGAAGTTCTGGTTTATATAAACAACCCAGCTTTGGTTTTTTAGAAATAAGGAGAGCAAGCGAGTGAGAGAGAGAGAGAGAGAGAGAGAGAGAGACCGAGAGAGTAAGAGAGAGAAAAAGAGAAAGAGAGAGAGAGCGCGAGAGAGAGACAGAGAGAGAGAGAATATGTCATGACAAATATCACAAGTCAGAGGATGGCAAGATATTCAATTATTTTGTATTTGTTTCTGACTTACCCAGAAAAACCAAATTCTTTTATTGCATTTGATAGCCAATTCAGAGTTTCTGATTGATTCTTAGGATTCTTCTGTGAAAAGGCCATTGACATAACCTGGAGGAGAAAATAAGGATCAAAAGATGTATTTTCTAATAGAAATACAGAATGACATTAAGGCAATGGAAGACACACATTTTTCCTTTTCTGTGATGACAGGGGTCAAAACCAGGGTCTCACACAAACAGGGTATGTGCTCTGCCATCTAATCAGTTCTCAAACATTTTTTTCCTGATGCTAAAAATAATAGCAAGATTAAAAAAGAAAAAAAATTGGGAGGAGCACCTGCCTGTGCTAAGGGCTTACTTCTGGCTTTGTGCTTAGGGATCACTTCTGGCAGGGCTTGGGGGACCATGTGGGGTGCCAGGGATCAAACCTGGTGGCTGTGTGCAAGGCAAGTACCCAACCTATTTATTGTACTATCACCAGCCCCCTAGCAGGATTGTTTCTGCAATGAAACACTTAAGTTGCACAAGAAAATCATGAAAGTGTAATAAAAAAGTATTCTGGAATATTAAAAATATTCATTAGAGATTCTTCTAGATTATAATGCAGAAAAGAGAAAATGACTATTCTAAGAAAAAATTTAAGACATGTAAGATTGTCTTATTATTTCCCACTGGCACTGTCAATACTACTTTATTAAAGATAAAACTAATGGGGGAGAAAGGACAGGGTTAAAGGTGTATGCCTTGCATGAGGACAACTCTGGTTATCCCCGGCACCATGCAGGGTACAATCTGGGAGGCCCCTGAGGACCACTGGATCTGGCTGGGGTAATCCCTGCTACCTCAGGGCCCTTGCAACAGTGGTAGTTCAGACCTCCTGTTGAACTGATGGCCTGGATGGCTGAGTATCACTGGGATAGGCCGCCAGGTCTTGTAAGCACTGCCTTAAAAAAGGAAGGTTAAAAAAAAAAAAAACACTTGCATAGGTAAGCACTATAAAGGTAAAAAAGGTTAAGGCCCTCCCGTTGATCGTCGATTTGCTCGAGCGGGCCCAGTAACGTCTCCATTGGAGACTTTGTTGTTACTGTGTTTGGCATATCAAATAGTCTCGGTAGCTTGCTGGGCTCTCCGAGGTAAGCACTATAACTTGGGGGAAACTAAAGGGACTTTTGAAAGCGAACTCTGAGTCACTCACCTGCTCAGCAGTCCACGGCAAAACACAAGCTTCAGCTATTGCTGTCATGGCTTCTTTGGCATTGTTCCCACATTTCACATCACCAATCTTATCTACCAGGCCATCTAAGACGATCTGAGCTGAAGTTTTGGAAAAGTTTCCCTTCTGTGCAATCAAAGCAACTATGTGAAGCTTCATCTGCATCACCTGAACATAGACAAGGATTAAAAAGCAATGAGTAAGCCAGATATGTCTTTTTAAACTTTTTTTTGGTTTGTTTTAGTTTCTTCTTTTTGTGTCACACCTGGCGATGCACAGGGGTTACTCCTGGCTCTGCACTCAGGAGTTACTCCTGGCAGTGCTCAGGGGACCATATGGGATGCTGGGAATCGAACCCGGGTTGGCCGCGTGCAAGGCAAACGCCCTACCCGCTGTGCTATTGCTCCAGCCCCAGATAATGTCTTTTTAAAATTATTTTTCAGCAACCTATAGACTGAACAAAGTTATAGCTCAGAATAGAAAAGTTTTATTTTGTTTTGTTTTTGTTAGACCTTTTGGCAATGTTTAAACTTTTATTTTGTTTTTGTTAGCTTTATTTGGGGGGGGGTGTCACATTTTGTAGGACTTAGGGGCTACTCCCAGTTTGGTGCTCAGTTGCTCCTGCTATGCCTGGAAATCAAACCCAGGTCTCCTGCATATAAAGCATGCACACCTTAAGCTATATTCTTGCCTCCAAAATTTTATTGAAAAATTTTTTCCTTTGTGGCAGCAGTGGTAATACAGCTGGCAGGACACTTTCCTTGCTTCTAGGCAAGAGAGGTTCTGTCTCTCGCACCTCAGATAGTCTCCAGAGCACCAACAGGAACAATCCCTGAGCACAGGGCCAGCAGTAAGCCCTGAGCTTACTCCAGGTGTGGACCAAATAACAAAAAACAAAAATAATAACAACACTTTTATCTTTCACAGCTATGGATGGCCAGAGAGCAGTGTTTGTGGTCCATGATGACTACGCCCAGCAGTGTTGGGGGTCCACAGCTACAGCTGATAGTGCGAAGGGGGCACATGGTGCTGGGAATCAAACCAGGTCCCATGTATACAAAATATGTGCCCCTGACCTCTGTGATATCTTTGGCTAAAGAACCAAGTTTGGCCTTATAAATATAAGATTACTTGTGGAACTCCATTTATATGAACTGTCCAAGATATGTAAATCCAGAGATAGAAAATGGAATAACCTAGTTACTAGGGACTAACAGTGTAAGAATAGAGTGACTAGTAATGGGCATGGTTTTTCTTTGGGGCTATGAGGGGACTGTGATAAAAAAAAATAATTCTAAGATTGGAAACTAATAGTAATTGCAGACTTCTGTGAACACAGGAAAAGTTGCTGCACTGTACACTTCAAAGTGGTACATTTTGGGCTAGAGGGACAGCTGGATGGGCTACAGTGTATGCTATTTGCATACAGGAGACCCAAGTGACTGACACTGAGCTCAGAGAGGAGTGAAACTCAAGCACTAAGCTAGTGATAGTGACGCTCAAGCACTGAGTTAGGGATAGCCCTTGAGCACAGCTGGGCACGGCCTCAAAAATCAACCAACCTTCAAATGGTGGAGCTTCAAAATCTCAATAAACTTGATACTGTCACTGTCCTCCCGTTGTTCATCGATTTGCTTGAGCGGGCCCAGTAATGTCTCCATTGTGACAACTGTTATCGTGTTTGGCATATCAAATATGCCACGGGTAGCTTGCCAGGCTTTGCCGTGAGGGCGAGATACTCTTGGTAGCTTGCCAGGCTCTCTGAGAGGGGCGGAGGAATCGAACTTGGGTAGGCCATGTTGGCCACTTGCAAGGCAAACACCCTACCTACTGTGCTATTGCTCCAACCCAAGATAGAATCAACTTCTCACTGTCACTGTCTTCCTGTTGTTCATCGATTTGCTCGAGCCGGCCCAGTAACGTCTCCATTATGAGACTTGTTACTGTGTTTGGCATATCAAATACATCACAGGTAGCTTGCCAGGCTTTGCTGTGTGGGCGAGATACTCTCGGTAGCTTGCTGGGCTCTCCGAGAGGGGCGGAGGAATCGAACTCGGGTCGGCCATGTTGGCTGCGTGCAAGGCAAACGCCCTACCTGCTGTGCTATCGTTCCAGCCCAAACTTGATACAAAGAAAAAAAAAATTATTTCATGTTATACACCTAATCTGCTAAAGGTATCAAATCATACTATTGCTCCTTTTTAAATTTTATTTTGTTTTGGGGGCCACACCTTGTAGTGCTTAAAGCCTACTCCGAGCTCTGCACTCAGTGACCACCCCTGGCAAGCTCAAGGAACCACATGATATTCTGGGGGATCAAACCCAGGTTGGTGCAAGGCAAGTGCCCCACCTACTGTACTATCGCTCTGGCCCCCACGGGTGCTTCTTTTGCTTATCCCAGAAGTTGCACTTTTGACAGTGGTGCTATGAGGGGAAGAGGAACAGGAAGGCTCTGTGAAGTGGGAATGGAAAATATACCATGACAAAATGCTATGGAAAAACAGTGAGTAAGGAAGCTAAAGAATCTAGAAGAGAACAAGAGGTGACAAAAAGGGGGGGGGGGGGAGAGAGAGAGAGAGAGAGAGAGAGAGAGAGAGAGAGAGAGAGATTAGCAGGAAGCTGAAAAGAAACCTAGTACATTTTACACTTTTGTTTAGGATGAGGTCTATGTATACCTGGGAAAAAAAATTCACAATTTCCTTGCTGTGCAGCACTTCCATAGCTTCCTTTACATGGCCACACGCATTAGTGCTTGGTGGCCCAGGGCCACTCCTCAAAGAGGTCTGGCAGACATGGGCTGGTGATTACCTAGCACCCGATTTGGCTATCAATGGGGCAACGCCTGGCGATGTTGATCAATAGTACTCAGTAGTACTCAGGGGACCATATAATATCAGGGATCAAACTCAGGAAGACCTGAGTATGTTAAGCATGTGCTTTACCACTTGAGTTATCTCCCTAGCCCAATACCCATTTTTCAGATAAAATAACAGCCCTGTTAGTAGTATTTCATTACTACTATCAGTTAAGAGTAAACTCTTTAACTTATGTGGCAAACTTATTATATTGGCAGTTTAAAAAATGCGTTTATTTTTTCTCCAAACAAAAACAAATACAAAACAAATTTTTGTTTTATTTTATTCCCCCCTCCCTGGTCCCTTTTGGCCATGCCCAATGGTGCTCAGGGCTTATGCCTGGTTCTAAGGCCTGGGATCACAACTGGTAATGCTGTAGGTGGTGCTGGGGAATCAAACCCTGCCTGCTGGCTATTGCTCCACCCCTGATTATCTGATTTTTAATCCCTTCCTTCAATGTGTAAAGATTAGAATAGAGGGCTTCTAGGCATATATAAGTAAGTAAGGTAAGGCCCTCCCGTTGATCATCGATTTGCTCGAGCGGGCCCAGTAACGTCTCCATTGGAGGCTTTGTTGTTACTGTGTTTGGCATATCGAATACGCCACGGGGAGCTTGCCAGGCTCTGCCGTGCGGGCGAGATACTCTCGGTAGCTTGCCGGGCTCACCGAGAGGGGCGGAGGAATCGAACTCAGGTTGGCCATGTTGGCTGCATGCAAGGCAAAGGCCCTACCGCTCTGCTATCGCTAATGCGTACACTTAAATCATATAAATATTTACATATACAAAATATACAAATTACAGTTATATTCTTGTGTATAGTCAAACACTGTGTACTTAAAATTAGGTGACATCGTGACTAGTTTTAAAAAAAGCAAAAAAATCATCACAAATATGGCACCTCTCTATTAATTCAAAAGAAAATAATAAAAAGGATGTCAATAAATGACATTACCCTGAGAATCAATCTACAGAACTGACTTTGTCAAGGAGACGAGAAGGGGAGATGGGCAGGAGATCTTGAGCCAATGGATGGAGGAATGTTGTAGTGGTTGTGGTGCTAGAATACTGTATGCCTTAAGCTCTATTATTGACAGGATTATAAATCATGGTGCTGAAATAAAGATTGGGGGAGAAAAGAAAAGACATTACACCTTTCATTAAAAAATACCTGAAAATTAGTTTCTTTCCAGCCAGGTTTCTTGGCAAGCATCCTCACTAATGCCTGGCATGGCATTTCAGTTCGGTCCATTAATTCAACAGCCTTGAAGTAAAATAAGAAAGTAAGAAAATTGAGGATAGAATAACATATATGCCCAAAACAAACAGTTCCTTCTAAAGAGGGAGGGAAATAGAATTTAGAATTTCTAGAGGAAGCTTATACAGTTCCTGTTACAATGCTTTATTTCTTCAATTGTATGTTTGGCATGTAGTTGCTATACAATGGTCAAGGTCACGGTCCTCCCGTTGTTTATCAATTTGCTCGAGCGGGCCCAGTAACATCTCCATTGGAGACTTTGTTGTTACTGTGATAGGCATATTGACTACATCACGGGTAGCTTGCCAGGCTATACAAATACCATTGAATCTCCTTTCTCATTTCAGGAATTATAAATAATAAGCACCAAGGAAAGAATAACATTTTCATTTTGCCTGGTGCATAGCAATACTTTTCTATTTTATTTTTTGCTTTTTAGGTCACACCCGACGATGATCAGGGGTTACTCCTGGCTCTGCACTCAGGAATTATTCCTGGTGGTGCTTGAGGGACCATATGGGATGCTGGGGATCGAACCCGGGTCAGCTGCATACAAGGCAAAAACCCTACTGCTGTACTATCATTCAGCCCCAACATGGCAAAATTTTTAAAATTAATTATTTTCTTAAAAGCATAGCAAGACTCGGGGCTGGATAGTTCAGCAGGGCATTTGTCTTTCATGCTGCCAATCTGGTTCAAATCTAGGACTCTATATGGTCCCTAGAGGCCACCAGTAGTAAGACCCGAACAGTGTTGGGTGGAGCCACAAAACGAAACAAAAATGGTGCACAAACTGAGGTCTCAACTTTAGTAGTGGCAGTTGTGAAACTGAAGGAACCCAGGAGCACTGTTCTAGTAGTCCTTCAGATTCTCCACACCCTGACTTATTACGACTATGGGGCACAGAACAATTTAGCAACCATGCACCTTCTTTCCAAGTGATTTTAAAGAAGTATTCCGTATCAAATAATCTATTTGTACAAGAATCATTACAAGAGGAAAATATAGATATGAACAAAGGATGTAAAATGGAGAGCTGTTTGATAAGCAAATTGAATAAATAAGCTGCATAATTCAATTTACTTAAATACTAAATTATGAGCTTATAGAAGTCTTAGAAAGCAGAGGCCAAAACATAAACATTACACAGCTGAAAATAACAAAAAAGAAATAAAGCTACTTTATTTTCCCTAACATCATCACACATATTTACTTCAACACTGTAATTAGGACAAGTCCTGCATTTGTCAATTTCCTTGCATTTATATAACCTAATTTTCTTTATATTGAACTCATTTCTTTTTACGACCTACTTTTTGGAACTCTTCCATACAGGCTAGTCTTTCCTTCCAGTTACTGCTGTCTAAAAGTTGTATACAAGTAGCAGGAAGGACAGCAGAAGCTTTTTCTTCACATACTTCTATCTGTAAGATAAAAGCAATAGGCTTCCATTAACTGCTGTAAAGGAAAATGTGTTCAAGGCAAAGTTTCAATAAGCTGAAAAATATCGAAGAACTCTGTTCTTCGTGCAGCATTCAGCAAAGAACTTATTCAACAATTTTTATAGATAACCAGTTTCCTGGTTAAGAATGTGAGGCATATACTAACCGAGAGTTCAGGTTCCACAATTTCTTTGGTCTCCAAACCTTTCTTGTTCTTGGTTCCAATGCTTCCTGAGCCTCCTGGCGCAGCTGGTTTCCCCTTTTTAGGGGGCCCTCCAGCCTAAAAGCAATTGGAAAACAAATATCAAACCACTTAGGGATTTAGAACAGTGGCTCTTTGTTTTTGTTTTGTCACACTCAGCAATGCTCAGGGATTCCTCCTGGCTTTGCACTCAGAATTTCTCCTGGCAGTGCTCGGGGCACCATAAGGGATGCCAGGGATTGAACCCAGGTGGGCCTCATGCATGGCAAATGCCCTACCTGTTGTGCTGTCACTCCAGACCCCAACAGTGGTTCTTATTTTGGGGTTGGGGGAAGTGTGAGAGAATCCTTTAAGAGTTGATTTTTAAAAAGGGCTGACCTGGAGGGAGGAGCAATGGTAAAATGGGCAGAAGTTTGCCTTGTACATGGCAGGTCCAGGTTTCATCTCTGGCATCCATATGGTCCCCTGGACACTGCCAGGAGTAACCCCTGAGGATCACTGGGGGTGATCCAAAAGCAAATCAGAAAAAAAGGATGACCTAACCAACAAAAAAACTACGGTGCTATGCCGCCCTGGGAAGGGAAGAGTGCTTGTCCCTCCACCTGTCCCCCTTGTGGTGGCGGTGGCATGGTGGCCTCCATCTTTTAGAGCCTAATGGACAGCCAGATATGAGACTGTATTGACAAGGCATGCGGGGCCTTGTGGGATGGGGGTGGAATTGGCCCTGCTCCCCACCCTGACAAGGCCCCAGGTTGCCACCCACAAACACCTCCTCCGGCTCCTGAACGACCATGATCCCAGAGGCACACAAACCAATCTCAGAACCCAGGGGCTTTTGTCAGTAATCCTTCTAGGCTTATTACTAAAATACCAGAAAGCCAAAATTGCGTGGCTGCTTTTGCAGCCACACGACATCATATGCTCTTCATAATCAGCAACAGAAAATAAATTATGTAATGATGTCTTTTTGGCAGATCTGAATGTTGGGGAAAATTCCAAAAATTCTGTTGGTTTTTTTGTCGTAATATTTAACGTGATCAATGTAGAGAAAGAGAGTAAAGTGGAAATCTGCCCCACAGGTGGGGCAGGGTGGGTGGGTGGGGGCGTATACTGGGGTTCTTGGTGGTGAAAAATGTGCACTGGTGAAGGGATGGGTGTTTGACATTGTATGACCGACCAAGACTTAAACTGAAAGGTTTTGTGACTGTTCTCATGATGATTCAATAAATAAAACTTAAAAAAAAAAGAGGGAGAATGTCATTATCTGCCCTTGGGCATTTTTACCTTTTCTCCCTGTTCAAAAGTGATAATATCTGGACAGCAGGGAGACTCTGCAGTATGATTCAGCGGTATCAAAAAACTGACCAAGGTGCTAAGTACCTCGCCACACTGTGGCTCATTATTCAATGATACTTTCCAATCCTTTAAAAGGCACTCACATAGCTTTATACCACTTTTTATCTCTATTATGAAGTTTCAAATGACCAATGTTGAACACTATGCCCTGTTCAGAGATATTCTGCTGTGTTCTGAATAGGGTGATGAGACAGTTTCTCAAAAGAAATAGTACCGAAAGAACACCATTTGAGACTCATACTTGTATGATTTTTTAAACCATATTTTCTAAAAATTCTAAAATATGATTTTTTAAAGCCATATTTTCCAAGTTCTCTGTTAACCTTGGCAGCAGGTGCCTTTTTCAAGGGCCCTGGTTTGGGTGCTGAAACATCCTTTGTGTCTTTATCTCCCGCAGCCCCAGAAGCAGCAGTTCTTCCTGGCACAGACTTCAGCTCCTTTTTATCAGCTGCAAGTCCAGCTTTCTTCCCATGTACCAACTCTACTTTTTCTGAACATTCTTTGATCTGGAGATGAAAATTGAGATGAACATCATTAAGCCCCACTTTGACTCACAATCACTACATTATTAATCAGACACTTCTAAACCACAACTACATGAGAAATCAGAGTAAAGTATCCTTTACAACAAAGATAAATATCTAGACCTTATGATAGCAGACAATACATTAATAATGTATTACTTTTTATTCCTACATAAATTACAATTTAAAAAGTTCATCTAAAAGCGTTGCTTCACATTCTTTACAGATTGGTCACTCAGTTTTAAGTAATTTACTGTTATAATGTTATATATGCAAATATTTTTAAATCAAGAAATCCTGACAAGTACAAAATTAATTAAAAACAAAGAAATTATGACCAAAAGGACACAGGAAGCTCTAATATTTTAAGAGACAAAACCAGAATGCAGTCAAAGAACACTATTTTCTAATCTTATTAGAATCCTTTACTAACCCTATCAAGTTTGAGTTTGTCCACATCAACGAGGAATGGGTTTACTGCTTTCTCACCAACCACCTTCAAAGCGGTACCCAAAGCTTCAAATGCAGCATCTCTCACTTCAGGAGCAGAGTCATTGATGTGCTGTAGTCCGGAAGTAAGCAAAGTCGTATTACTACTTGATTACTGATTTTAAGTGATAGCTGTAGAATAAAGAATTTGCTTTGAGGGGGGCAGAGAGATAGTACAGTGGAGGTGGGGCTTGCCTTACATAAGGCTGACCCTAGTTCAATCTCTGGCATCCCATATTGTCCCCTGAGCCCATCAGGAGTGATCCCTAGTAAGTGCTCAGCACCACCAGGTGTAGCACCCAAGCAAAACAAATTTCTTTGACAATTCACCCAAACTAAGTACATTTTCCTGCCCCTTTTTGGCAAATTAGCAGCTACTCTGTCACAAATTCTTTTTGAGTTATGAACACCTCTGGCAAGCTCCCTGTGGCATATTCGATATGCCAAACATAGTAACAAGAAGTCTCACAATGGAGACGTTACTGGTGCCCACTTGAGCAAATCGATGAACAACTGGATAATAGTGCATAAAACACCTCTGGTAAAGCACTTGGCAAAGTAACCTAGGCTCCCTTTCCCTTTCCCTCCACATGAGACCACTCTCCACATGTCTGGACAAGCCTCATGCATGAAGGAACGAGCAGATGAACCCAGGCATGGGGTCCTGGGGCTGAGATCTCCAAGCCTGCTCAGATCAGGACTGGGCCTTCTCCACCCAGATCCCCCATCTTTCAGTAGGTAGGTGCTACACCCACCAGCTGCTGCCGGCCGGTGTCAGGTGGTCCCATCAAAGGCCAAGACCCAGAGACTATAGGCCAAGACCCAGCTCCTGGAAGCGCGTGGCCTCATAGCAGCCTCGCGACATCTTATTATCTCATTTTTACTTTGGAGAACCCGGCAGGCTACCAAAAGTATCCTGCCCGCACGGCAAGAGTCTGGCAGACTTCCCGTGTCGTACTCAATATGCCAAATACCAGTAACAATGATAGGTCTCATTCTCCTAGCCCTGAAAGAGCACTGAACACGGCTCTTTTAAAATCTTAGGGCTAGGAAGAAGGAGACGTTACTGGTGCTTGCTCGAGGCAATCGACGAACAATAAGATGATCGTGATCTTGATCATGATCCCTTTCCCTTTCCCTCTATCTAAAAAGCCTGACATTCAAATGACCTTCCAATACTCCAATACTCCTCATTTCCTATGCTAGGCCAGATTCAACTGTATAACAATGTAAGGGTAAAATGAAAGCTAAACACTTCCTAAGTAAAACACATTCCCCCAATTTTATCTAGGATGGAAGAGAATGGAGAATAATGGGTGAACAGGCACCAGGGCATCAGTTATACTGATGATATGGGAGAGTGATATATCCAAAACACAGACTCAACAACACTGAAAACATGAAAATAAGTTGCAACCACTGGAACTTTGTAATATGCCTGTCAAGTTGATAAGCTGGAACGAGGCGAGGGTTGCGGGCGGGGAGGGAACATGGGAACGCTGGTGGAGGGATGCAAATAGTGGTGGTGGGATTGGTGTTGAAATATTGTATACCTAAAACTCAACTGTCAATCATTGTAAACCACAGTTCTCTAATAGAAAAAAAGAAACATTCCCCCAATTTAAAAGAAAATCTATACCTTTAGTAGAGCAGCACAAAAGGGCTTTAGCAAGCTCTTTGGCAGGGTAGCAGCAGTGCAATGGCGGAAGCTTCTTGCAATAAAAAGAGATGTCTGTTGCTTGATGGTTGGATTCTTATTATCCATCACCGCTAAAATATCCTCACTGATGTTCTGGAGTGTGGTCTTTAGAAAGAAAAATGTGGTCAGTCAGCTTTTGCAACTGAAAAGCACCAAAATATTACACTAACAAAATTTACTTTGAACAAAACCACAAACTTGTACTGTCTACTTACAGTAAGAAAGATGGCATCAATTGCCTCCTGCAGGGCTTGTACCACCTGGGGTTTCTTCTCTTTGAATTTCTCCAAAATGGTTGGCACAACCTTTAAAAGTGAACAGTTGTATTATTATTTGGCAACAAAAAAGAGATAAAGTACAATTATGAGCACTAGAGTCAGATGTGTGCAATCCCTAGTCACTGCAACCACAAACATTAACAGTAATAAAGTGTGGTGGAGGGGGGCGGGGAGGGAGGTGTTAAGTTAAAAAAATATTGCTACAGTATGGGCAAACCTTGAAAACATTTTGCAAAGGTAAAGAAGACAGTTACACAAGATCATGTAAGTATCATGTAAGATCATTCTATGAATGATTATCTGGGTCTGGGGAGCTTGATCAAAAGGCCTGAAATATATGCTTTGCATGCTGGATGACCTTGTTTGATTCCCAACATTGTATGGTTTCCTGAGTACTGCCAGGAGCACTGCTGGATGTGGCCCCAAACAAAACAAAACAAAAAAAACAACAGTAAGATGTAAAATCTAGAGGAAGAAAGATTAGTGGTTGTCAGATACTCGGGGGAGGAAGGAATGAAGTGAGACTAGTAATAGGCATAGTTTCTTTTTGTGGTATTGAAATGTTCCGGGATTAAGTAACATTATCATAATTTATACAACCCTGTGACTATACTAACACCACCGAATTGTATATTTTAAGAGATAAATTTTCTGGTACTACAAGTTCGATTCCTCCACCCCTCTCGGAGAGCCCAGCAAGCTACTGAGAGGATCTCGCCCGCATGCCTGGCAAGCTACCCGTGACGTATTCGATATGCCAAATACAGTAACAACAAGTCTCACAATGGAGACATTACGGGGCCCGCTCGAGAAAATCGATGAACAATGGGAGGACAGTGCTACAGTGCTACTAGGCCTCAGCAGCATTGAACCTCCAAGTGCTAATCAGCAGGAGTGGCTTCAGGATCACTAACACTGCTGAGGCGGCATTAAAAAAACAAAAAAAAGAAAAAGCCATTTTCCTGGTAAGGGATGTTGATCAAGTGGTGAGGGCACATGCCTTACTTGTTTGAGATTCTGGGGTTTCAATACAAACCACCACTAGATGTGGCTCCACATCATTAAGTCATTTCCTTTTTTGAAGGACACAAAAATCGTATGATGGAACTATTGTAGCAATATCTCTCATTTCTTTTATATCAACATTTCTATCAGTTACATCTCTTATTAGACAAAAATGATTCTCAAATGGGTATGTTTAGAGTTGGCAACAAAATACAGTATATAAACCTTACTTCCCATCCAGGACTCTGATATACCTCTCTATACTCAGATGTCTCCTGCCCCTTCACTTAAAGAGAAAAGGAAGAGTACCAGAAATTATTTTTTGGTTATTGGACCACACCTGGGGGTACTCAGGGATCACTCACAGCAGGGGTCCAGGGATAGAACCCGGGTTCACTGCCGACAAGACAAGAGCCTTACCCACTATACTACCTCTCCAGTCTCTAGAGCAATTTAAAAATCACAATTATATCTTCTTATCCAAGAACCAAGATCATTAAATAAGAGTCTAAAAAATTTAACTATGGAAAAACTATACCACAAATTCATTAAATGCATATTTTATTTAATTTATACTTATTCATACCTAATATATGAATGCCACACTGTGTTAACAGGTAAACTAAGGTCCAAAAGAAACTTAATTAAGGTCAAGAGGCAGGAGAGATAAAGCAATGGGTGAGACACTTACCTTACATGTAACTGACTTGGGTTCACTCCCCAGTACTACATATGGTCCCCAAAGCACCGCCAGGAGTAAGCACTAAGCACTATCAGGTATGTCCCCAAAATAAAAAAGCAATCAAAAAACAACAACAACAAAGAAATAGCCAAGTCAATGGTCTCTAATAACATCTTGTTTTGTTTCTGGATCCTATCAGGCAGTGCTTGGAAACTATTCCTGGCGCACTGTTCAGGGGTTGCTCTCAGCAGTGCTTAAATGTCAGGCATTATATCTAGGTCTCCTACATGCAAAGCACATGTTCCAGCCTGTGGCTATTTTTTAGGTTTGTTTTATAACATTTATGCCCAAATTATCACAGAAGCTGTACAGATCAGAAGGAATAAGGAGAAATATAAAAAATATTTTAATATTAGAAGTTAGTGACGAACTATTAAGAGTTACTCATGAAACTGAAAATCAAGATTTTTTTTTAAATGTTTATTTTTGATCAGTAGGATTTTTTTTTAATCTATACTGGTACGTGTGTGTGTGTGTGTGTGTGTGTGTGTGTATGCGTGTGTGTGTATGTGCTTTTTGGGTCACACCCGGCAATGCACAGGGGTTACTCCTGGCTTATGCACTCAGGAATTACTCCTGGCGGTGCTCAGAGGACCACATGGGATGCTGGGAATCGAACCTGGGTCAGCCACGTGCAAGGCAAACGCCCTACCCACTGTGTTATTGCTGCAGCCCCGAAAATCAAGATATTTTGACGAAAAAAGCTCAAAGTTTACTTTAATATATATAGTTAAAAGAAGTTTGTAAGTAACTAAAAGAAATGCTGAACCACACACATGCTCAATACCAACAATGCATATGATATGGTGTTTAGGGAGGAACCCTCAAAATTAACATACATACTCAACAACACTGAAAACGTAAGTTCTAAGTGGCAAACACCAAACACTGGAATGTGTCTGTCAAGGTGGCAGGTGGGGGCATGGGGGTGTGTGAGAAGAGAGAGGGGTGGGGACAGAGTATGGAAACACTGATGGAGGAAGTTGACACTGGTGGTGGAATTAGTGTTGAAATATTATATACCTAAAACTCAACTATCAATAACTTTGAAATCATAGTTATTTAGTTAAATAAATAATTTTAAAAACATAATGCACATAGAGATTATCTAGGTAATGTTTTATTTGGTAGTTTTTTTTTTTAGTTATATTCTCTGAAATTATTTTTAATGTATGAGTAAGCAAGTTTCAAATACTGTAATTCAAGTGAGGTTAAATTCTAGCTTCACACTGGCTACCATTAGGAGACTTAAGTCAATCCAAAAACTCAAACATCAACTAGCTAGCAAGTTAAACCCTCGAGGTCAATTTTCAATTCTCAAGGATGCTGAGCATCTAGAGGTTTACTAACTGATGCCACAGTTCAAGAGAAAAGAATCTAATTTGTAAAATTTAATAATTTAATAATAATTTATTAAAATTATCAAACTTGATTGCTCTCAAATTTACATGAAGAAAGCAGTATAGGAGCCAAGAGATAGTACATCAGTTAGGGTGCTTGCCTTGCACACAGTCAACCTGGTTCGATCTCTGGTATCCCATATGGGATCCCCTGAACCCACCAGGAGTAATTCTTGAGAGTATTACAGAGCCAGGAGTGACCTAAGCATTGCTGGGTGTGCTCCTCCACCAAAAAGAAAAAAAGAAAGGAAGAAAGAAAGAAAATAGTGCGTACAACAAGGACGTCTCCAGTCAAGTGATCTTAGGAATAAATTAAGGGCTGGAGAGATAGTATAGCAGGTAAGGTGTTTGCATGGGGCTGACCTGGATTTGATCCCTAGCACCTGATATGGTGCCCTGAGCTCCATCAGGAGTGATCCCTGAGCAGAGGACAAGGAGTGTGCCCCCCCGCCCAAAGTTAAACTGATACATCAACAATGATTCAAAATGTCTTAAGCATAATTATTATTTTCTGAAATAGAAAAATACTACAAAACACATCACATAAATTTCACTTCTAGCTTTATTTGGCTTTTTTTTTCTTTCCTTTTACTGAAGGACTGAGATTTACAACATTGTTAAAAGCACTCTTCATGCATACATCATCCCAATACCAGACTGACTGCTAGAGTCCCACTTCCCTCCCAGCTACCCTCCCTTCCATGAAGGCTAAGTTCTATAAACAAAATCTCCTGATGAGTTTGGCCATGTTTCTATATATCCCTCATCTAGAAGACTTTTTTTTCTACTGCAGAGGGAGTGATAGCTATACACGTAGATGGACAAAGCTAAACTCCTAAAATTCAACAAAATCGTAAATGTCTTTCATTTTTATTTTTCCTCCTTTTCTTCACCGCTGCTGTTTTTGCAATTACCAGGGATTATACTAACAGCTGTCATATGCTGGGGGTCCCAAAGAGCAGTACCTTCTGGATCATTCTCACATGGCAGTGGGATGGATACTAGGAATTGAACTCCTCAGTCTCATCCCTGCTAGGGAGATGATCTACCAGTCAGACATCTTTGGGGCCTTATTTTCCCACTAACTCTTACTATCTAGAATTTCATATATTCTATTATGTTTCAGTATTCTAAGAACAAACCAAGCTAGTGATAAGCAATAAATCAACTAAGAACATAAGGCCAAGTGCCCAATTTTCTACATAAAGCTAATAAATTTAAATACAATTGACCTGCTGAAATGTAAGGAACTATATTGATGACTTAAACAACTTAGAAACTCTGCATGATATATGAAGACCTATGCAAAAGAGTTGTATAAAAAGCATAAAACAAACTAGCCTGGCATTCTTTTTTTTTATGAATTTAATTATTTATTAAAATATGCTACTTTTACAATAAACTTTCTTTTTTTACCCCTTTTTTTAAAAAAAATTTATTTAATCACCATGAAAAAGTTATAAGCTTTCATGTTTGGGTTACAATCACACAATGATCAAACACCCATCCCTCCACCAGTGCACATTCCCCACCACCAATATCCCCGGTATACCGCCCTTTCCCACCCTCCCCCTGCCTCCATGGCAGACAACATTCCCCATACTCTCTCTCTACTTTTGGGCATTATGGTTTGCAATGCAGATACTGAGAGGTTATCATGTTTGGTCCATTATGTACTTTCAGCACACATCTCCCATCCTGACTGGTTCCACAAGCCATCATTTTCTTAGTGTTCCCTTCTCTAGTCCAGCTGCCTTCTCCCCTTGGCTCATGAGGCAGGCTTCCAGCTCTGGAGGAAACTTCCTGGCCCTTGTATCTACTGTTCTTGGGTGTCAGCCTTATATTATGTTATTTTATACTTCACAAATGAGTGCAGTCGTTCTATGTCTGTCCCTCTCTTTCTGACTCATTTCACTTAGCATGATACTCTCTCCAGGTCTATCCATTTATAAGTAAATTTCATGACTTCATCTCTCCTCACAGCTGCATAGTATTCTACTGTGTACATGTACCAAAGTTTCTTTAACCAGTCATCTGTTCTAGGGCACCTGGGTTGTTACCAGATTTTGGCTATTGTGAACAGCGCTGCAATGAACATGTAGGTACAGATGTCATTTCTACTCTGTTTTTTTGCATCCTCAGGATATATTCCCAGAAGTGGTATTCGGGGCCATATGGAAGTTCAATTTCTAGTTTTTGAAGGACTGTCCATATTGGTTTCCAGAAATAGCCTGGCATTCTTGATAATGTTACTGTGATTTAAAAAGAAGTGTTACTTACATGTCCTGCATATTGTCCAAATTTCTTCCTTAACCCAACAGCCAGGCCAGTAAGACATTTTGCTGCCAGAGCCACCAACATGACATTGGTGTCCTTTCCAACAACCTAGAAAGAAATGAAAAAAGAAAGTAAAAGCCCTATAGAGGAGAATTGAAATTATTTTTATTTTGTTTTGCTTAGGGGTCATACCTAAGTATGAAACTCTAAGCAAAATAACCATTAATTTATTAAAATCTGTTTCCTACAAAGAAGAAAGATTATGTGGTCACATCAAATATGGGAGCTCCTTTTATTATATTGTTTCCTATCTTAAAGTTCTACCAATAAAATATAAATAAAATTGTGACTTCAAATCACTATTCATTAGTGAGTGGGTCTTTTGAATCATTAACAATTGTTCAAGAACAGATGCTGACAACGAGAGGAGTTGGAAGCCTGGATGGTACTGACAGGTCTTTCTTTGTGGCTGGGAAAGCCGAGACTGCATTCATTTTCAAGGAGCACTTATTAAACAACTGTGGGTACCTTCAAGGACTATGAACCATTAATCGTTACTTTGAGGCTATTTCTGGCCTTACAAGTATTTTAATTACCTTATGATCATCAAGTTTTCACATCAAAAGTCTCTTGTGGGGCTAGAGCGATAGCATAGTGGATAGGGGTTTGCCTTGCACGTGGCCGACCGGGTTCAATTCTCAGCATCCCATATGGTCTCCTGGCGAGGAGTAATTCCTGAGTGTATGAGCCAGGAGTAACCCCTGTGCATCACTGGGTGTGACCACCCCCCAACCCCCCCAAAATAAGAGTCTTTTTTGTGTATTGTGGTTGTTTATTTGGTGTTTGGGCCATACCTGGTGGTGTTCCATGAATTAAAACACCCATAAAACACATATTAAACAATGGCATTCTAGCTGGCACCTATATTACTTTCTACATGCTAAGGAAATAAATGAAATTTTATTAAAAACAGAGAGGCCAAAATCTACTGGACATTTTGTAATCTTATTTAATTTTCAACCTAACCCTAGAAAGTAGGTACTAATATTATCTCAATTTTGTAATTTTCAAAAATTAAAAGGAGGCATGGGAGGGGGGCAACAGTGGCAGAGAGACCATTGCAATCAACTGGGTGTTTGCCTTGCACGTGGCCAACCCAGGTTTGATGACCAGCATCCCATCTGGTCCCCTGTGCTCGACCAGAAGGGATTCCTGAGTGCAGAGCCAGGAGTAATTTCTGAACAGCATGAGGCATGGCCCAAAAGCCGAAATAAATAAATAAAAACAAAATTAAAAAATAAAATAGGAGGCTGGAGATAAGACATTTGCCTTGTGTGCAGCTATAGAGGCAGACTCTGGTTCAAATCTCTGGCACTACATAAGGTCCCCTGAGCACAGCCAGAGGTTGCTCATGAACTGAGTCAGGAATAGATTTTGAGCACTACCAGGTAAGTAAGACTCAAACCCCTGAACCGTCCCCCCCCCCCCCAGCCCCAAATAGCACTCAAATAATAAAAGAGATAAACTTGCTTAAAGTTACAGTGAATGGTCATGCTGCAAAAGCTTTTGCTTTCTGGGGCCGTAGTGACAGTACATGAGGAGGGCATTTGCCTTGCCTGTGGCTGACTTGGTTCAATGCCTGGCATCCTATATCCTGTCCCTAATGGCACAAGGAGTAATTCCTAAGCCTAGAGCCAGGAGTAACCCCTGAGTATCACTGGGTGTGGCCCACAAACAAAAAAGTTTTTTTTAAAGCTTTTACTTTCATAGCACAGCGGGTAGGGCGTTCGCCTTACAAGCGGCCAACATGGCCGACCCGAGTTCGATTCCTCCGCCCCTCTCGGAGAGCCCGGCAAGCTACCGAGAGTATTCGATATGCCAGACACAGTAACAACAAAGTCTCCAATGGAGACGTTACTGGGCCCGCTCGAGCAAATCGACGATCAACGGGAGGGCCTTTACCTTTACCTTTTACTTTCTTTAAAAAGCATATACTCCCTCAAAACATGTTCACTGTCATTGTCCTCCCGTTCATCGATTTGCTCGAGCGGGCCCAGTAATGTCTCCATTGTGACAATTGTTACTATGTTTGGCATATCGAATACATCACAGGTAGCTTGCCAGGCTCTGCCGTGCGGACAAGATACTCTCGGTAGCTTGTCGGGCTCTCCAAGAGGGGCAGAGGAATTGAACTCAAGTCGGCCATGTTGGCCACTTACAAGGCAAATGCCCTACCCACTGTGCAATCGCTCCAGCCTAAAACATGTTATGGCAAATATATTTTCCTTTTGAGAGATCAGGATCTTAATTAACATAACATTTTACTGAATCTTTAATTTGTGTAAATCTAAGGAGAAAAAATTCCAGTTCTATATTAATGCACCAGAAGTATATTGTAAATACTCAGATTACTGCTTACTACACCTCTCATAAACTATTTAGATGTCAGAATTTAAGAATTTCTTAATTTCTAAGAAATTCTGATAGTTTAACATTGCTCAAAGGGTGATTCTGTTATACTGTCCCAAATAAGCATATTTTTAGGAAAATAAATTTCCCTACCCACAATTAGAGCAGAAACCAACAGCAGCTAGAGTTGAGATGCTGGAGATCCTATTGGTAAGTACTGAAAATGATCTTGTAAGTCTATTATTATAGTTCAAGATGACAAACACTGAATGAATGTAAAGGCAGTAACAGAGTAGACACTTGGTATCATATCTTCCTATCTGAATCAATACTCATCAGACCTAATTTTGACAAGGCAAGTTTTCAACTAAGAATGAGAGAAGTGGGGAGTCTGTGTTTAATTTCTGGGCCACACCGGGTAGTGTTCAGGGATTACTACTGGCTCTGTGTTCAGGAATCACACCTGGTGGTACTTGAAGGACTTTATACGGTTCTGGGGATTGAACCCACATCAGTTACATGCAAGGTAAGCGCCTTAACATGCTATATGTTATCTCTCTAGAGTACAACTTGTGAAAATACAAAGAATAAAAAAACTCAGTGACTTTAGGGAAATTAAGCTTAAGTTCACAATATTAACTAAATGGGAATCTAATGGAATGTATTTCTTTTTGATTTTTTTGCTGCCCTGGCACAGTGCTCAGGGTTTTTCTCCTGGCTCTGCACTAAAGAACCACTTCTGGTGGTGCTTATGTGATCATATGGGAAGCCAGGGATCAAACTCAGGTTGGCCACATGCAAGGCAAATGCCTTACCTATTGTACTATTTGTCCAGTCCCTAAATGGAAAGCATTCTATAATTACTTTTTCCATAAATCTAGGTTGTGAGATGTGCTTTAAATAATTATTAATTACTATTCATCTTGCCTTTTTTCCCTTTCTCTCTTCTTTTTTTGGTGGTGCTGGGGATTGAACACATGGCCTCATATGCACAAGGCAAGTGCTCTACCAGAGATATATCCTTAGTGTTTCAATTAGTATCTCTTTAGGAATATAAATCTCCAGTTAATAGGCAAGTAAACAAAAACAGGGTTGACAAAGAAAGAAATCAATTAAATTCATAATTACTGTATTTAAAAATGATAATTATAAGTAATCAAGGCAGGGGGAGGGGAAATCGAAAGACCAAATGAAAAAAGTTTAGAACACAAAAAAAGTCAAGCAATTATATAATTAAAAACCTTGAGGGGCTGGAGTGATAGCACAGCGGGTAGGGCGTTTGTCTTGTACGCGGCGAATCCAGGTTCGATTCCCAGCATCCCATATGGTCCCCTGAGCACCGCCAGGAGTAACTCCTCAGTGCAGAGCCAGGAGTAACCCCCGTGAATTGCCAGGTGTGACCCAAAAAGAAAACAAAAAAAACAAAAAAACAAAAAAAACCAAACCTTGAAACTCAACATTCATAGGTGGTTGGCAAAATAACTTCTAAGTTATTTGAAGAACAGGAGGAGGGAAATAGGAAAGACATCTTTTAAAAGTACCATAGGGATCGGGGATCTTGATGGTTCAAAGGGCTAGAGTGTATGCCTTATCTGAGGTTCAAGTTCAGTATCCAGTACTGATGCCATCTGTGTACCGATGGTTGTAGTCCAAGCACTACTCATATCTGGCATTGTCAGTTGAGTATTACTAGGCTTTCAAGCAATGTTAGTAAGACTCCCCCCAAAAAAGTAATAAAAAAAGTATAACCTGTAAAAAAGAGTACAGCCTAAAAAATATGTTTAATCAGGTTATGAAAAAGAATTAAAAAAATAAAAAAATATATATAAAAAAAGAAAAAGAATTTAAGAAGAAACAATACCATTTAGTCAGACCATAAGTAGTTTCTAAATTCAGAGTTCTTTATTTTTTGTAATAAAGAAAAATGTTGGGCCACAGAAGAGACAATGAAGGAAGAAAAGATCATTCTAATTCTATTCTTCAGTCTCCTTCTCTTCCATTTACCTAGTTTTGATGTCCCTACATGGGTGTGAAGACTCTATATATGTCAGTAAAATAAAATGTAAGATACAAAAATGAAAATGTCAAGATGCATGTTAATTTATATGACTGAGATGAATTATTAACTTTTTGACTTTTTCAAATATTTCACTCACAAAATTATATTTAATGTGTAGCCTTTAACTGAAAGTCCCTACCCCATCATATGATGAGGAAATATCTTCTGCTAACCTGGATGTCACCAAAATATATTGTCTATATCTACCAAAATATAAAGTCTGTGAGCCTTTTGTTGAATATAGTGAGAGACTCCACTTAAATTCACAATACCATGGAAATCATAGAACAGTCTTTATTTGAAAAGCTAATATCCCAAGAAAATTCATGCAGAGAACATCAAATATTAATAAAGGGGAAAAAAAGCTTTTATTTGGGACACTGAAAATTCCCTGACAGAGCAATAATAGACCTGATTAAAAATATATATGTAGAAAAAAATACTAAGAATCTGGTGTTCTTTTCAAGGTCACTCAAGTCTCATTTCCCCAGTCATAGTGCCATCTATTTACTCCTCTTTTTTCCCAGGCTCCAGTTTTATGAAACTAATTCCCTTTTTAAGTTCTTCAGCCTGGGGTGATAGAAATGATGTAAGGGTTAAAGCACTTGCTTTGTGCCTTGCAAGCAGTTAACTCCACTATTCCTGAGTACTCCTGGGAGCTAGATAACAGAAAAGTTAGCCAGTCTGGGTTCTGGCTCTCAAGATGTAAGGCTAATGACTACAAAGAGATTTTGAGAAACCAGACTCATGTCTCCAAACTTAAAGGAAAGCTCAGAAAGGCTAACTATGAGAAAATGATACTCATTATATACTAATTTCCTATATGCAAGTTTACCTACTGATTAAAACTTGTTTATAGTAGGGCCAGAATAATAGTACAGAGGGAAGGGCATCTGCCTTGCATGTGGCTGACTGGGTTTCAACCCCAGCACCCCACAGTCTCCTGAATCCTGCTAGGAGATCCCTGAACACAGAACCAGGAATAAGCCCTGATTTTCCTCGAGTGTGTCCCATGCCACCCCCCCAAAATAATCCCAAAATAATAACCCTCAGTTATAAGTCTAAAATATGTGTGGCAAGTTCCACTCCTTTAAAGACAAGCCCAGAGAGCTGTAAAAATTCTGAGCTGCCTGATGTGTTCACTGCCAGCTGAGATGAAACAAAGCCACACTCTGCATTCTTTCAGCTCTCACACTGAAAAGAAGCACCTTTTTCATGGTCTGTTTTGTGAAATGTCTTTTGATTTCTGTGTTTTGTTGATGCCTCCCCCATTTAAAAAGAGCCTCCAAGGGGCTGGAGAAATAGTATAGTGGGTAGGGCACTAGCCTTGCATGCGAGTGACCTGAGTTCAATCCCTGGCACACCGAACAGTACTCTAAACCTCTCCAGGAATGATCCGAGTACTACCGGATGCTCCCCCAAAGCCAAAATAAACTAACATAAAATGGCACTGTGGACTAGCATTCTAAAGTGATCAAAAGACGCTGATGTACTTGTGAAAAAAAAAAAGTGTTAGATAAGCTTTGTTTAGAATTGAGTTACAGCGCTATTAGCTGAGAGTTCCATGTTAATGAATAACATATATTAAATATGACATCTTTAAACAACACTGTCACTGTCCTCCTGTTGTTCATAGATTTGCTCGAGTGGGCCCAATAACGTCTCTATTTTTTGAGATTTGTTTCTGTGTTTGGCATATTGAATATGTCATGGGTAGCTTGCCAGGCTTTGCCGTGAGGGCAAGATACTCTCGGTAGCTTTCTGGGCTCTCTGAGGGGGGCGGAGGAATCGAACCCGGCTCAGCTGGGCTGGCTGCACACAAGGCAAACACCCTACCGCTGTTCTATCGCTCCAGCCCTTTAAACAACAAAACAAATTATATGTGTTTGGTTGTTAAAAATGTGATCTAAATGTTACAGGGGCTGGAGAAGTTGTGCTGGGCTTAAGACACTTGCCTTGTATGCATCAGACCCTAGTTTGATTATGGTCTCCTAAGCACTACCAGGAGTGACCCAGGCACAGAGTCAGAAGTAGCTCCAGAGCACTGTTGGGTGTAGGGGTCATTCTCTCCCATGCTGCCTCTCCTTTTTTAAGCATCCCTGATTGTGGTATTAAAAAAAGGCAATTTGTATTCACTAAATCAGTGTTTGTGAGACTATAGGATATCACTAACCACAAATAACAAGCATTTGAGTAGTTAACATTCTTATCCTCTGAAATTTCAGGTTGAAAAGGGAGATAAACCAATGTTTTCAATCTGTATTTACGATGTCTTCAGGGGCTGGAGCAACAGTACAGTGAGTACGGCATTTGCCTTACACACATCTGACCTGGGTTTGATCCGCAGTACCCCTTATGGTCTGCCGAGCACCACCAGGAGTGATTCTTGAGTGCAGAACCAGACGTGATCTCTGGGCACTGCTGGATTTGGCCCCCAAACCCAAACAAACAAAAAGATGTTTTCAGAGTTTGTTCCTGAGCTTTACAACTATATCCACATTTGTTTTAGGGTCACAACCAGGTATTTCAGAGATGCTTCCAGGGGTGCATGGGTGACCATGTGGAGATAGGGACTGAACTCGGACCTCCTCTCTGATCCTAATATATTCACAATATTTGTTTTTTGGTCACACTTAGCTGTGTTTAGAGAATCATGTGTACCAGAAATTGATAGTGGACCCCTGGTGTGTTGATGTGTGAACCACACACTTAGCTCTCTACCTTACTCTCCACAATATCTGATCTATACTTTTAGGAGAAGTCACTACATACAAAAATCTCCACTAGCAGTATTAAACTTTGCTGAATCTAATACCAAAGGAGCTTTTAAAATTTTTTTAAATTTGTTTTTAGGGTGCCCCAGAAGTGCTCAGGGGACACTCCTCATGGGCTCAAGGGACCATATGGGGTCATGAGAATTGAAGCACGGTTCAAGCCTTACCCACTATCTTATCTTTCTGGCTCCTAAATTTTTTTCCTCGTAGTACTTTCTTGCTTTTAAATTGGTTACATACCCTCATATCCTTTACCTGTTGATATAATGTAGTATTGCATTATTTGCTACCTAACAAACGAACAACCTTCATATTTGTTCCATTAAATGGAGCTAATTCACTTTACTTTTATGATGCTAGGTATCTAAAGGGTCTGATATGTGCACATTCTACCGCTGAGCTATATACTCTAGCCTTAAAAATAGAGCCAATTTAAACTGTTTGTTCTACAGAATTATGAAACAGAAATATCTGTTTCTGATTTTTTGTTTTGTTGTTTTGGGAGCCACACTTGGCTGTGCTCAGGAGTTAGTCCTTGCTCTGGATTAAAGGAACATTTCCAGTGTGCTGTGGATGGAATCCAAGTTAGTTGCATGCAAGGCAAGCACCGTAATATAACTCCAGCCCCTGAAACATCTGGTTTTGGATCATGGAAGCCTTCTTTACTAGAGGTTCATACAAATTAGAAATGACATTTTGTTCTTGGGACAAGTCTTGAGGTGCTCAGGGGACCATGGGATGCCAGAGATCGAACCTGGATCAGCCCTGTGCAAGGCAAGCGCCCTGCTGGCTGTAAATGATATCCTTAAAATCAAAATGAAAATAAACAGATAAAATCAATCCTTCCAAGCCCATCTAGGACAACAGAACAATAATTTAAAACAATCTATAAAAAAAGTATGCTTATAATAGAAAATCATAAATGCCAATGTAGTTGTGGTAAAAAAAGGAGGTTTTTTTTTTTTTAAATAAGAAAAAGGAGTTTTTGATGAAGAGAAATTTCCCACCAAGGTATGTTTTTGGAATGCCAATGCTGAAACGGCACTAACTTACCTTCTTCAATGCTTTTACTAAATCTGCATAATCGCCTGCTTCTAGTTTGGGGTTTTTCACTAGTCCTTCAACAATTTCCAGGACTTCTTTTCTTTCTTGCCATTTTTTTGCCTCCTGCAAGAAAAATAATTACTTGTGAAGCAAAATAAGACAGCAAAATGTCTATTTCTTGTATGCTAATATTGCTAAGGCTAATGCAAATATTAACTACTATTTGTTTTCGGAAAGTTTTTCTAGAAAAACTTAAAAACAAAATTGAAGACTTACTCTTCAGGCACAGTTCTCTCTTGTCTCTTTGTCTCTTCATTTGCTACGTATTCTTTTAAGCCAATATGTTCTCCTGATACTATATCTCTTTGCTCGCTTGCTTGCTTTTTCAAGATTGCTCTTGTGTAGGTGTTCCTCCTGTACATGTATTCCTTCCCATCTTCCCCTCTATCTTTTCTAAGTAAGTTTTGTTCAATAAAAACTATCTTGTGGCAGAGATGTCAAACTCCAAAAATTTCAGGTACACTGGGTTTTGTTTGGCTGAGAACTCTGGGGCCTTCCAGGAGTTGGGGCAGGCAGCTTCCCCCATTTCCTGTACTTTCAGAAGCCCCGGCAGTAGGTGTCCACACCACACAACAGCCGCTGACATATTCACTACCCAGTTAAATATGGGTTTTATGCAGTGCACAGCTGCATTCACGGCTGCATGACCTCTCCAAACTCTAAAATACTTACAACCCAGTAGGAGCAAACCAGATTGGATGGGAATGTAACAAAGAAACCAACAAAGCTCAGTTAATAAAAACTTTAACACAAAAGGCTCAACTAGCATCAACAGCTTAGTAAAGCCTCCAAACAAGGACTTGATGTCCCATGGTGAGATATAACAATTTTCACAATTTTTCTTTTACTGAAGTGTAAAATCTTATCACGCCGAAGGTTGTGTGTTCACGGGCTCACTGGATGGCACTGTCTCACCGCCTGCGTTCAGTGCTCTTGAGCCGCTGTGTGTGGCCTGGATCGGAACGGCTGTTGGCCAAGGGCAGACGGAAGAAGAAACGAGGGCCAGGCCGGTCTATATCAATAGTAGTTTATTCTAATCCTCTTCACTCCTGTCTTTCTCTGCCTCCTTCTCTCCTGGGCCCCAATCTTGGAACCTCTCTCCTTCTGGCTCTGACTCTGGATCTCTGGAGCCCGAGCTCTCTCGCTTCTGACTCCCTTTCCGAGCTTCCGTCTTAGTTTATATAGCAGTCAAATAAGGCGGTGACATAAAGGTGGGTTGAATACTGACGAATCCACAAAGAGAGGTAAAACCACTCCTCCAGGAGATTAACTCAAGGATAAAATCTCATCTACAGAGATTACTTCAGATTACTAGGAGATCCACCCAGGGGTGGGATCTCAACAAGGGTGTGTTCTTCCCTCAGTTAGTAATCTACTTAAATAGTTTTAATAAATCTACTTCTAATATTTCTAGCAATGTCATTCTGTATGAGCACAGTAAGAGATATAAATTTAGTTTGGTTCTTCCTGAGAACATCTCACTATACATTCCGCAGTCCTCAGGCCAGGTTAATCTTCCTACCTCCAGCAGGGTCCTAGTCTCGTCGTTACTTACTTTTGGATCATGACAGCATTTGTCCATGATCATGCCCTCAACTTAGAGTTGAGTATCGTGGCTCTTTGGCCTGGCCCATTTTGATGCCAGGGTAGCTCACTGCTTGCCCTGGGTCCATTCAGTCCCTCGTCAGGACCCTGCTTTTGGGGTGCTAGGAACTAAGGACAACTGAGTCAAGAAATCAGATGCCCAGGAGTAAATATTATTCAGAGTCAATCAACTTCCAAGTTACAAAGCATAATATTAACTGTCTTCCTGTGTCCACACAGAAAGGACATTGCTTACAATACAAGTTCAGTGTCCTTAGATGGGTGTGAGCTGACAAACCTAAGTTACCTGAGGAAGGACAAAAGAGTATTATCCTACAATGAAGTATTTTCTGATAGTTCCATTAGCCATTTAGTGGGAACAAATGATATGAAATAAATTATTTGGGACTGCTAGGGGGCAGACTTGAGGAGTGGCTGGAAAAATGAGGACACTGATGAAGGAAGGTCACAGTGGTGAGATTGGTGTTGGAATATTGAATGCCTATAACAAATGCACCAAGAACTTTGTAAACCACTGAGTTTAAATAAAGTGGGAAAAAAACTATGTTGCTTCACAAAATTTTTGAAAAGAATTTGCATAACTGTACATCCAATTACAAAATTTTGTTCATAAATATCTATCTATATACAAAAATATTTTCATGGGGCTTCATAACTCTATGAAAGTGCTATGATAAGTAAATGTATGTCATTGTCATTTTCATTTTCTAAAATGTAAGTAGAAATTAACACTTATTAGTAGCTAGAGATGCTAGAGAGGAAGCTCTAAAGAGCTGAGTGCATGCTTTGCAAGCAGGAGGCGTAGGTATGACCCACAGCACTAACAGGAGCAATGCACCATGCACAGAGCCTGAAGTAGCCCCTGAGCATCACTTGGTATAGCCCAAGGTGGGTTTCTATATTCATATTATTAAAAAAGATTAGGAAAAAAAATCACACAGCCAACAACCATTGGGGATGGGCCTCTTTAATATCCCTAGTTCTCTCAAATAAGCCAACAACCATTGGGGATGGGCCTCTTTCGTATCCCTAGTTCTCTCAAATCAAATTATTAAATGATTGCTTAATCTTTCTTTTTAGCTTTGTTTTTGTCTCAGGACCATAATCCAACTGTTCCCAGGACTCTTACTTCTGCCTCTGTGCTCAGAGATCATTCCTGGCAGTGCTTAGGCGACGATACGAAGCACTGGGAACTGAACCTTACTGGCCTAGTACAAAACAAATGCCTTAACCTCTGTACTACATCTCAGAGCCCTGATTGCTTACTCTTTAGAGAAGCCATATTTTATGACCCTAAAACTAAAGCACCAGCATTATACACACAATCTAAAAAAACTAATCTCTAAGACCAGAACAACTGTGGTTGGAAAGTTAAGTGGAAGTTTCAGAAGTAACATGAGTACCTCAACGATCACAGATGACTTCAGATATTTCCTTAAAACCAATAGAAGCTGAACAATGAAAGGGATGGCTGATATTTTCAATAATTTCACCTCAAATTACACTGTGAGATAATGATGGAAAGAGACAAGAGATAAGAAGTTTAAGAAATCCTCTGTAGCATGAAAGGTAAGAGATGATGGTGATGGCGATTTGGACAAAACTATTTCTCAACTGACAGAGACTTTGTTTCAGGGTACATTTGGCAAAGTCAAAGACACTTTTGATTATCATGACTTGGGAAAGCTAGAGATGCTGCTAAACATATCACAATAAAAGGAAAATGTCAACAAATGCCAAGGTCAAGAAACTGGGGGAAGGGGTGTGTAAAGCAGTGGCAGTGGGATGGAGAAAAAAAATTGAATCTGAGAGATATTTGAAAGTAAAACCAGAATAACAATGAGAGAAATCACAACAATAATTAGAGAAGAAGGATAAGTAACTGAATGGTTCTACTACAGAAAATAAAGAACGGAAGGGACTGCACCTGGGAGGGATCCCCACAGCATTCTCTACACAAAAGTAGTTAACTATAAACTTAGTACTAACTTACAATTTTGTCATAAAAGTCCTTGGGAAGTTTGGAAAGAATTTCTACTGCTTCCAAAAGTTCATAAGTATCTATCTGTGGTACCTCATCACCATCATCACCACCTGTCAGAGAAAACAAAACAAAACTTAAAAATGGATTGAAGTAGCAGTACTCCTACATTTAAAAAAAAAAAAAAAAGGATTCAAGGTTGAGGTAATAGTACAAGCAGGTAGGGCACATGCTCTATATATGGCTGACTTGGGTTCAATCCCTGGCACCCAATACTGGTTCCCTGAGCACTGCCAGGAGCAATCTCTGAGCACAGAGGCAGGAGGAAGTCCAGGAGTATGACCCCAAGCCCTCCGCCCAAATAGAATGAATATTCTTTTTTTTTTTTTTGCTTTTTGGGTCACACCCAGCGATGCTCAGGGGTTACTCCTGGCTTTGCACTGGGGAATTACTCCTGGCGGTACTCAGGGGACCACATGGGATGCTGGGAATCGAACCCGGGTCGGCCACGTGCAAGGCAAACGCCCTACCCACTGTGCTATCACTCCAGCCCCCAAGAATGGATATTCTTATGAACTAGTTATTAATTCCTTCACACTTCTGATATAATCGTGATATAGAAGGGAGAATTTATTAATATTAGATGACCTGCATTGTGCTCAATGACAGTCTGAGAAGATGTGACTTGTAGGAAGGTCAGGCCTTAGTAATTTGCATAAAAATCAGTGTTTAAGGTGGCTTACCTCCATCAGCATCAGCACCAGAAGACTGTTGCTGTTCCAATTTAGCTTCTAATTCTTGCTGGGAACGCAGATACCTAGTTGGTTTAGGAATACCTGTTGGCAACTTGACCCATTCTTCTTCTAGTTCTTTCAACTACAAAAATTACAACATTAAAATACATGTATATCCGCTATTAGATAACTAATATATTAGAATTTATTACCTTATTTATGTGGCTTTCAAAGAGAAAACAATGGCTAGACAAATAGTACAGGAACTAAGACAGGTGACTTGCATGCAGCAGACACTAGTTTGGTCCCTGGAACTTTATGTGGTCCCTGCAGACCACCAGGGGCATGGTGTACACCCCTGTTGGTGTGCAAGCACTGCCAAATGTACACAGAACCCCATCCCATCCCTAAAAGAACAAAATCCTCTATATAGGGCATGCTCAATAGTTCATTTAAAAAAAAAAAATGGCCAGATGTGGCTCGATGATAGAGCAAATGCTTCAAGTATGAGACCCTGCATTCAACCACCATACCGCAAAAAATAAAACAAAATTAATTCAGATATACTCATATAAAATAGTTTGCAAAATTATTTGCAATTTTAAAAGATGATTTTAACTGCACGATGAAGAGATTTTTAAAAATTCCTTAAGATTAAGCACTATCATTAAGATTACTGAATGCATGGTATTTAACTTTTCAGGAACAAAACAGCAGAGATGGTTTACTAGTGCTCAGAAAAATCAACTAATCTGAATTAAAGGAAAAGTATTAACAATACCGACAATGACAGAAAAGAAATCTGTTCATCTTCACCTCATGCAAAGACAATAAAAACATTATGCCTCACCTGGAGAGAATTTATATTTTGTAATGGGGGTCTCAGAGCATCCCGGATCCACCTGTATATCTCAACAGCAATTAATTTGGCTTCATCTCTAACAGGCTTGTCTCGAGACTCAAAGAGTTTTGGCAACACTTTGATAATTGGTTTAAGCAAAATGATTTTGGAACCAAATTCACTGGAAGTAAAAATTAAAGAAAAAAAATCTGTCAACAAACAACATGTCTGGCAAAGTATTAGCTTTCATTCACTCATGTATCCATACATGTACATTAATATAAAGACCAACTAATATGCATGATCACTTGTCACATCGTGTTCTTAAGTAATGCCAGCAAAATGATTAAAAAGCAAACATAAGTTCCTTAACCCCCATCTTTGAACAAAAATTTATCTTAAGATTTGTGATGATTACAGTGAAATACAGTAAGTTTAGATTTTATTTTTTTTTAATTTGGTCATACCAGCCGATGCACAGGTGTTACTCCTGGCTTTGCACTCAGAAATTACTCCTGGTGGTGCTCAGGGGACTATATGGGACGCTGGGAATTGGGTTGGCCGCGTGCAAGGCAAAAACCCTACCTGCTGTACTATCACCCCAGCTCCCTGTTTAGATTTTTTTTTAAGGCAACAGCAAAAAATTAAATTAAAAAGCACATCTATTTATTTTTATTTTTTATTGAATGGCCATGAGATAGTTACAAAGTTATTCATGATTGGATTTCAGTCATAAATTGTTCCAACACCCCTCCCTTCTCCAGTGTACATCTCCTACCACCAATGTCCCCAGTTTCCCTCACCTCTTCTTTCTATCTCTGTCTCTTTCTCTCTCCTTTTGGGCACGATGGCTCCCAATACAGGTACTAAAAGGTTATCATGTATATCCCTTTACCTGCTTCCAGCACTCAGTACTTGTCCTGAGTGATCACTTCCAGTTATTATTGTCAGAATGGTCTCTTTTCTCTCGTAACTGTTCTCCTCCCTCCATACACTTGTGGCAAGCTTCCAACCATGGACCAGTCCTCCTGGCTCCTGTTCTGCCCTTGGATATTAGTCTCATACTATGTTTTTTTATATTCCACAAATGAATGCAATCACTCTATATTTGTCATTCTCTTTCTGGCTCACTCAGCATGACACTCTCCACATCCATCCATTTATAAGCAAATTTCATGACTTCATTTTTCCTTGCAGTTGCATACTATTCCATTGTGTAGATGTACCATAGTTTTTTTTATCCAGTCATCTATTCTCAGGTACTTGTGTTATCAAAACCACATCTACATGTAAGCTATCATTCTTTCAAGGAACAGTCTTCCAAGAATATTTAATATTTTAAGCCAAAAGTAATCTGGGGGAGGAAAAAAAAACTTTCTAAGGGCTGGGGAGTAAGTGCACAGGTTAAGGTGCTTGCCTTGCATGAGGCCAGTCCTGGTTAGATCCCTCCCCAGCACCACTTCTTAGGACCACAAGGAGTGATTCCTGAGCAAAGATCCAAGAGTAGGTCCTAAGCACTGTCAGTAGTCCAACAATCACAAACAAAAACAAAAACATAAAATTATTGCACTCATTTGCAGGATATAAAAAATATATGAAAATTATTCCCAAAGACAGTATAAATGAGGAGCAGAACAACTGATCCATGGTAGGAAGCTTGTCACAGGGGGCAGGGGGCGGAGAGTGCAGTTAGGACTGAGAAGGGACCACTATGACAATGACAGTTGGAAATGAACATTCTAAAGGAGGGTTGGAGGAGAGAGGGAGAGAGGAAGGTTGGGGGAGATGGGGAGAGAGGGAGGAAAGGAAGGAGTGAGGGAGGGAGGGAGAGAGAAATATGGAGGGAGAGAGAGAGAAGTGTCTGCCATAGAGGCAGGCTGGGTGGGGGTGAAACTGGGGACACTGGTGGCAAGAAATATACACTGGTAAAGGGTTGGATGTTGGAACACTGTATGACTGAAGCCCAATCATGAACAACTGTAACTGTGTATCTCATTGTGAACCAATTACAAAAACCCCTCCCCTTCCTCCCCCAAAAAAGAATAACCAAGAGAAAAAGAGTTTTAAGGTACCCTGGAGTTCTTTTCCACAAAGAGTCACAATCTGGTAACAGGTGGGGAATAGGTCCATACATCTTCATTAGAAAGTGGTTTAGTAGGCCTGAGCTACAGTATAGTGGGTAGGGCACTTGCCTTGCATGCGGCCAACCCAGGTCCAATCCCTGGCATCCCATATGATCCCAAGCCCCACCAATAATGATTCATGAGTGCAGAGTCAGGAGCAACCTCTAAGAAAATAAAAACCCTAAAAAACAAAACAAAACCAAACCATGAAGAAAAAGGAAAAAAGAAAAAAAAAGAGGGACAGAAAGAGATTTAAATAAAACAACTTTGCAAAATACCTGAAGGCTAAAATGATGATATGAAGAACAAAACTTGAGGAATCACCTGTGTTTTTTCAGATCACTTTCCCAGCTGGTGTGATACTGACAAGTCCTGCAGTTTAATTTCTGCTGAAACTACAGGCCATGTTCAACAGTTAATAAAGCAAAAATAAAACCTCTTACCATAAGGCTTTCCTCAGAGTTTCTATACAGGCTACTATGATCTTGGGGTTCTTATTGTCCAGGCCTTTCAGGAGTTCTTCTTGTACAGCCTCTGCTTTTTCAATCTCTATGTACATAAGACAAATCTCAATGCCTAGCTCCTTGGCTTTGGCTTTGGGTTGGTTGAACACTTTACTTACAACACCTGACACAACTTCTCCTGTAGTCCTGTAATATAAATTAGAAACGACTACTTACCACATGTGCAAAAAACAAGCTTCAGCAGAAAGAGCTGGGAAAATGTTGTGAAAAGGGGCGGGCAAATGCTTTTTAAATGTTTACAAATGAAGAAACCCAAGTCAACAGTGCAAAAAATTTATGGTTAAGGACATTAAACTTATGCAAGTCACAAGTTTATGACATTGTCCACTAGGAAAGGAACTACAGTTTCTGCTTATCAATGTAGAAAATTCAGTAAGAAAGCAAAAATTCCTTGAAATCCCTAACAGACAGAGAAAACTACTTTTATCTATCTGGTATTCATTCTTTTAGACCACTGTTTTACAAAGTGGGTGATATTGCTGAGTGGTGGTGCTCCAACAATAAAGTGGAGCGGCAGCCTTAGGTACTTAAAGATAGGTTTCCAAGGGAGTATAGAGTAATTTTTTTTTTTTTTGAAAAAGAGAGGAAGGGAGCCCAAGTAAATTTGGGAATCTCTCTTTTATACCTTCTTATGCAGACAGCAGATTTTAGAAAGGAGCCTGGGGGTAGTACAAAGGGCTGTAAGGAGTCTCAGGTAATCACTGGTACTATATGGTCATGATCACTGCCAAGTGTGGCATCCCCACACAAAAAAGATATGAACAGATTTTAGAAAAATAGTAAGAGTTCTTGCTTTTTTAAAAAAAATTAGGTCACTATAAGCACTTATTAGAAGAAACTAATTTCTTCTCAGACAAAATAGATATGTACCCTTAATAGTGAGAGGCTATTCAGCCAGATACCACAGTGGGTAGGGCATTTGCCTTGCACGCGGCCCACCTGGGTTCGATTCTTCCGTCCCTCTCGGAGAGCCCAGCAAACTCCCTGTGGCATATTCGATATGCCAAAAACAGTAACAACAAGTCTTACAATGGAGACATTACTGGTGCATGTATGAACAAAGGGAGGACAGTGCTACAGGGCTACAATAGTGAGAGGCCAAAATGCCTTGGCCAAATTTAGAGGAATGTTTCTCAACCTTTTTGCAGCTCTGACTCCCTTCCTACTTTGTTTCCTTCTACTGCCACCCCCACCTTGGTTGGCTTTCAAGTCTTACACTGTGGTCTCCAATTATATGATCTTTCACCTGTGACCCCTTGTAATATTCTGGGGTACACAAGAGACCCCTATGGAATGCATAAAACCTGGACTACTGGAGATGAAGAATAACTGAGTAAGTTGGGATTACATGCACTATTTGTCAAAAGTTTCTGGTACTGGAAGAAAAATGAATTTAAAAAAGCAATGATTTCACTAGTGGCAATAAAACTCCACAATGCTTATAAAACTCTCAAGTTAACAAGTGTCCTCATTGGTATAATCTTTCAAAGCAATATTTATTTGTTGTGAAAACTAAGTTTATTTCTTCATTTCTTTTGGGTTTTGGGACACACCTAGCCATGTACTCAGGGCTTACATTTTGCTCTGTGATCAGGATAATTCCTGGTGGACTCAGGGGACCATTTGTGGTGCCAGGGATTGAACCAGAATTGGCTGTGTGCAAGGCAAGTGCCCTACATGCTGATCTATTGATTTGGCCTCTCATTTTTTATTTTCCTTTTTTAAAGTGTCAGGGAATTGAACCCAGGGCTTTCCCCAAATGAGGCATGAGTGTAGCTACCACTGAGCCATATTCCCTGATCCTTTTCTAAAACGGAGAATGGAAGGTTCTTTTCAACAGGCCGACCTGGATTCGGTTCTTATGCCCCTTTCGGAGAGCCCGGCAAGCTACCGAGTGTATCTCGCCTGCACGGCAAAGCCTGGCAAGCTCCCAGTGACGTATGACACAGTAACAATAAGTCTCACGATGGAGACGTTACTGGGCCCACTCGAGCAAATCTATGAGCAACGGCAGGACAGTGCTACAGTTAGAAAAATCAAGTTTGGGACTGGAGAGGTAGTACAGCGGGTAGGGAGCTTGCCTTGCATGCAACCAATGCAGATTCAATCTCTGGTTTTTCATATGGTTCTCTGAGCCTGTTGGGAGTGATCCCTGAGAGCAGAGGAGCCAGGAGTGACCCCTGAGCACCACCTGGCGTGCTCTCATCACGTCCCCACCACCACTTTAAGAGGTATGGACAGATGGGTGCCCAAATGCCTCTACCATCTGTAACTGATGTTAACAGGCTGGGTATCAGAGGCTGTCTGATCAGCATTACTGGTAAGATAAAAACACCTAACTTGGAAAGGGGTTAGGTGAGGGAGAGGGAGGAGGGATAGGAAGGGGATAGCACTGTTATTCTAAGATTTTAAAGCTGAGAATCTTTTTAAAAAATTTTTGTAATGCCTAAATGTTTTCAGTGAAAACAGATGGTAATTCCTTTGCTGACAACCTCAGTTTCTTCTAGAAGTTTGTAAAGATCCTCCCTCTTAGTTGAGTAATCCCAGACAAGAGCTTCAGAAGGAAAACAAATTGCTCATCAAATTTTAAGTTAAAAAATAAGGATCTGATTTTTAATTTGTTCTTTACAGAATACATATTTTGTTCTAAACATATTAAAAGTCTAAATATATTAGTCCCTCTTGGAGAGCCTGGCAAGCTACCGAGAGTATCCCACCTGCACGGCAGAGCCTGGTAAGCTCCCCATGGCATATTCGACATGCCTAAAACAGTAACAATAACGGGTTTCATTCCCTCTGCCCATGAAAGAGGCTCCAATATGGCACCGTTGGGAAGGATGAGTAAGGAGAGGCTGCTAAAGTCTCAGGGCTGGGACGAATGGAGACGTTACTGGCGCCCACTTGAGCAACTCGATGAACAATGGGATGACAGTGATACAGTGAAATATATTAGATTTCTTAGAACAGAACAGTAAATGGTAATTAAGAATCAAGCAGCTATGAAAATAAAAATCTCTTCTAAAAGTGTTAGAACTAGGAACAATGAATTACAAATATACATATTCTATATAGCACAAGAGCTGTATGTTTGTTTTTTTAAACTAGAATAACTGGAAACTACTTACTTTCCTGCGACATGAGCATTTTCAACATAAACAAGTGCAGCTTCTAATCCTTTCAGTTGAACCACTGCATTGGAATCTGTCACAAATTTTTTTATTAATCCTAAATATTTGGACCATTCTGGACTCTTTTCATCCTTTATTTTCTGGAAGATCTTCAGGGCTTCTTCATAACCACTTAATCTTGCTTTCCATAGCTAAATGAAAAGTATTTTGAAATAAAACAAAATTTAATGATATTATCATCTATTGTTAATTGAGAGTTGTGTATGTGTGGGAGGGTGTTTAAATAACTAACTTATACCAGGTAAACAAAGGAGCCCATGATCAATAACAAAAAGAGGACTCCTAAGTAATTCCAATACCTTAAATGAGAAAAGGTAGTTAACTTACTTCCCTTAAAAGTGTTTCATATTTATATTTTTTCCAAGGTCTTACAGAATTTCCAACAGACCACTATAAATGTCTCACTTTGTTTCCAAGTAGCAGTTACTATTTTTTTTTGCAAAATGATTTTGAATGTAACAATTCAAACCTAAGAAAATCATCCTGGTGAAAGTCTCCCAAATACCTTGTGTTTCAGTATTAATGTGTGATCATTAGGCAACTTTATAACTATACAATATTCCTGTTGTCAAAACAAGCCAATACTGAAATCTGCATTCTAAAAATCTTACCTTGTGTTCACATTTTTGATCAACCGGCAGTTTCAACCACTCGCTGTCATCTCCCATTGTGCTTCCAGTTTCTCTCTGGGATTAAGAGTACTTCCTAGTTAGATAAAAATCAAGAACCATTAAGTCCAGCAGTCTAGAACTCTCAAAACAAAATTACTTTTTTGAGATCATTACTGTTACCATGCATGCAACAACAAATGTTGCCTGTTTATTCCTTGGTTATCACACACACAATTTTTTAAAAACAATGTTGATGCATCTTCTCAACTACGATTTTTTTTTTTTTTTTTTTTTGCTTTTCAGGTCATACCTGGCAATGCTCAGGGGTTACTCTTTTTTTCCCCCCTTTTTGGGTCACACCTGGCAATACACAGGGTTTACTCCTGGCTTTGCACTCAGGAGTTACTCCTGGCCGTGCTCAGGGGACCATATGGGATGCTGGGAAGAGAACCCGGGTCGGCCGTGTGCAAGGCAAACGCCCTACCTGCTGTGCTATCTCTCCAGCCCTCAGGGGTTACTCTTGGCTTAGCACTCAGGAATCACTCCTGGCAGTGCTCAGGGGACCATATGGGATGCTGGGAATTGAACTCGGGTCGGCCGGGTGCGAGGCAAACGCCCTACCTGATGTACTATCACTCTAGCCCCCTCAAATATGAAATTTTTAAGTATATGACAAAATGAGATAAAAGCTGAGGAGCTGAACAACTGAGTTTTGTGAAAGGCAAAAAAAAATTCCAACTCAACTGTAACCTAAAATTCTTTATAGAAAATAACCAGTATAAGGGCTGAAGCAATGCCCTACAGCAGGTAGGGCATTTGCCTTGCCTGTGGCCGACCTGGGTTCAATCCCCAGCATCTCATATGGTTCCTTGAGCAATGCCAGGAGTGATGCCTAAATGAAGATTAAGTAGTAACCTTTGAACACCTCTGGGGATGGCCCCAAAATAAAACCAACAAAAATTATCAGTATATTAAAATCTTGATGCTAGCCAGCATTCTACCCAATTTCAACAATTAATGTTTAAATAAACAAGTAAGAAATAAATCACTGAATGAATTATTCCTTTATAAACTTAAACCAAATTGTGACCTAAAAACTGATTTTGAGAAATTGGGGGGAGGGAAATAGAGGGGGGAAGGGGAGCATGAGAGACAAAGGAGAGTCATGGGGGGAGAAAAGAGAAAAAAATAAGAGCTTTTCTGGAGAGTACAAATATCAGGTTAAGATGTGGACTAATCTCTAAGATAGAAAATCTGCCTAAACTTAAACCATTTTAGTTTTATTATTTATTGGTATGTGCTCAAAGATTACTCCTGGCTGTACTGGGGGGACATAAGGGGTGCTAGGGATTGAATCCAGGTTGCCCCATACAGTCCCTGACTATTATACTATCTTTCCAGTTCCAAACCATTTTTAGTGAGATTTATAGTCAACAACCCTTTGACAACTTACATCATTACTTAGATACATGTTACTTTTAAAATCAGAAAAAAATGGAGCTAGCTGCAGAAAATCTGAAAAATATAAAAAATACGTAATAAAACACTATTTCATCAAGAATTTGGGATTAAGAATAGACATAATGAACTATGATGTGTGTATCCATTTCAATCCTTTCAGAATTTAAAAAAATTCGCATAAAAGTATAAAAGTATAAATGAGAAAAGAGAGAACCTTTTGTAACTGTCTATATATGGCTACCATATTTCCCACATTTAAAAACATAATGTATAGCTGAATAGCACTCCATTATATGAATGCATCATACTTATGAATTCTAGAAATAAAAATTGTTTTCAACTTCTCAATACTATAAATGACAAAGATATCTTGCTATTTTTTGTGTTTTATTTTGTTTTAGGGCAGCATTTGGTGATGTTCAGGGGTTACTCCTGGCTCTGCACTAAGGAATTACTTCTGGCGATGCTTTGTGGACCATATGGGATGCCAGAGATTGAACCTGGGTCAGCCAATGTACATGCCAAACACCCTATCTATTATACTATTACTCTTATCTTGCTAATCATCTTCTCCCCCATTTTAGGATTTTTAGTAACATTATTAATAGTCAAAACTCATAAAAGTGCAACTGAGTTATGACTCTCACTTTCCTGATTGGTCCCTTCCAATGAAAGCTCTTGTTCCATTCTTAGTCCTGATCTAAAAGAAACTAAGGACCAAAGAGACAGTACAGAGGGTAGGGCATTGCCTTGCACTGGCTGACCTAGCTTTGATCCCTGGCATGCCATATGGTCCTCTAAGCACTGCCAGGAGTTATCGCTACCTAAGTACAGAGCCAGGAGTAAGCCCTGAGCACCACTGGATGTGTAAAAAAAAAGGGGGGGGTTACAATCCTCAGTAAATACTTTCGTTCAATGAATATATACCTTGATAGTTTCTACTATGAATCAGGCACACTGTAAAAGTGCTTTTTAAGTGTATTTATTTACTCTGTACTAATAACTATGTGAAAGGTGTTCTATTTTATACACTACTCTCACAAAGGTTAAGTAATTTGCAACAAATAATAAAACTAAGAGGTATCACCAAAATTTTGATTTTTCCTTTTAACCTAGTTCCATCAAAATGTAGAAAATATCCCAGGGAAATTTAGAGAATCAGAGATTAAATAGTGAAAGTTTATTGGAGTTTTAATTAAGATTTCTCTACAAAACCCTCATCTCTAACACCCAGTTTAAAAAAAAAAAGCCTGCTCTCAAGACATATATACAGGCATATATATATCCAAAAGAACTAAAAACAGGTACTGTGCAAAGTGCATAGATATGTTATATGTGTATGTGTGCATGTTTTAGTGTTAACAGCAGCATTATCAAAAGTAGTTAAAAAAAACTGGCTGAAATTCTATAAATAGATAAACTGTTACCCCTAAATCCTTCCAATGAAAATTCATGCAGTGAAATATAATTCATTATTAAAAAGAAATTAAACACTATAAAGTATTTACTTTATAGTATTTTTTTTTTTACTTCTGTAACACATCATTAAAACAACCTGATTAAAATGAATGACAGTATGGCAGGTGGGGTGTTTGCCTTGCATGTGGCTGATCTCCACATGTGCTGGATTTGATCCCCAGCATCCCATATGTTTCCTCCGAGCACTGTCAGGAGTAATTCCTAAGAGCCAGGAGTAACCCCTGAGCATCACCAGGTGTAACTCAAAAGACAAACAACAAATAAAGTGGGAAAAGGATGTTCTGAATAGATATACACAAAGAAGACATATACATGACCAATAAGCACACATACATCCTCAAATTATTAAACATTAGGAAATAAAAACTACAGTAAGATACTACCTCTTACTCACTAGGATGGCTACGAACATAAAATAAAACAAACCGAAAATAAGGACATAACCTTGCATATATAGTTAGTAGGAATATAAAGTGACATTACTGTGGAAGACAGCAATTCCTCCAAAAATTTTTAAACAGAATTATAGTTATTTAAGGCAAATAAATAACTGAAAGGGGGTCTTGAGGAGATATTTGTGCACCATCTTCACAGCAGCAGTATTCAGTCTAAATAGACAGATAAATGGATAAGCAAAGCATGGCACACACAAAATGAAGTTATTATTCAACTTTGAAATTCTGACAGCTATAATCTGGATCAACTTTGAGGACATTATGCTAAGTGAAATAAATCAGTCACAAAATGACAAAAACAGACTGGTGAGAGAGCCAATAGGCTGGAGCACATGCTCTGCATGTGAGAGGAGAAAGGGAGTTACCATGAACAAACAGAATCAATAAACTACATGACTAAACATGTGAGTAGAAGAGTCTAGGAGGAGGCTCTAGTCTCAGTGACTGGGCGAATTACCAAAAAAGTATGTCAAAGTAGTTCTGGGTTATTCTTGCTTTTAAGGAGTAGAGGCAAGATGAGAAAGATGATGAGTTTGGTTTTAGATTTGAGAAATATGATCTTCAATAAGTTAGAAACAGGCTGGAGATAGAGCACAGTGGGTAGGGCGCTTGCCTTGTATGCGGTAAACCCTGGTTCAATCCTCAGCATCCCATATGGTTCCTGAGCATTGTCAGGAGTCATTCCTGAGTGCAAAGCCAGGAATAACCCCTGAGCATCACTGGGTGGGGCCCATAAACTAAAAACAACAGCAACAAAGCTAGAAACATGACACCAGGGATGAACTTTCTGTTTATAAGTATATAAACAGAAAAACTATAAAGAATGTTTTGAAGATATGAGTGGATAAAATTGCCAAATATTAATAAAATTAATTTGAAATATATACTTGCTGAGGTTTCCTCAATCTAGCCATGCTACAAATATTCAGAAGTTTCTAGTCAAGGCTTTGAAGATTTTATTCTAGCTTAAAACAGAGGCAAAGGGTCTGGCGGGGAGTGGAGGGAGGGAAACTGGGAACGTTGGTGGTGGAAAATCTACTCTAGTGGAGGGATGGGTGTTGGAATACCGTCTGATTGAAACCCAAATATGACAGCTTTTAACTGTATATCTCATGATGATTCAATAAAAAATAAAATGAAAACAATATAACAGAGGCAAGGGCAAGGAGACCAGCTTTCTTACACCACTGATAGTATCTCTTAAAAAGGTGTAGATGTAATTGATTATATCACACCAGAGATTTAAAAAATATAACTTTAAGGTAATATATAAAGGCAGAAGTTAGAATACATTTCTTTTCAGTTTGGCATTTAGTTGAAAAAACAAATTACCCACCAAGTAAATAGTCTGTACTATCAAAATATATGACGGCAGATATCTATGCATTTTCTTATTTATCAGACAACCAAAAGACACCAAGATAAGTCAAGAGGACAGTTCAGAGAGGAACCTGTATCCATGTCCCCTATTTCTCATTCCATCACTGCTCTACCCAAGGGTCCAGGTAGTATCCTTTTATCTCAAATTCCTATGCCATGACCATCTCTAAGAATTATGCAGCTACTAAACAGATCATTTTAGTTTTCCATTTGAAAAGAAGTAACTGCAATACAATTTTAGGTATAATTTCCAAGCTCTTGAACTATGAAAGGTTTTTGCCCTCACAACACAAGAAATCTAAATCTGACTTTACT